AAGGGTGGCCTGAACTTGGCATTTCTGCGGGGCCAAGCACAAAGGAGGTATTCACCATGTATTTGATTGAGTTATTAAACTGTATTTTCTCTGTCGGAGAAGGCTCTGCAAATATGTCTTTGCAAAGAATTCAATATCTAAATAGGAGGCTGACTGTCAGGATGAATCAGTTTTTAATTTTATTCAATGATGACTTCTGACATTTTCAAACAGTTTCCCAGGGTGGACCCCATGTTGAGAACCTGTGATAGGAAAGCACAGATACTCGTTAAAGCTGTGTGCTTGGGAAAAAATTGTCTTCATTTTGAGTTCATTTCAATGTGCTACATGTTTTGTTGCTTTCTTTGGAAAGTCATTAAATAGAACCTCCTCTATTCTGTCCCCCCCCCCAATTAAGTATTTCCTGGCTTAGATGTCACAGTCCTGCCCCCTTGTAATCTTAGTGGCAGCTTAGCACAGACTTTGAGAACATAGATTTGGAACTCGATTCTGTAGTATTAGATCCTGGTTCTGCCTTTCCCTTGTCATATCGCCCCTGTCTCAGCTTCCCTACTTCAAAATATTACTACCAAGAAATAACTAATATGTGTAACTAATACATCTAAATCTCTGTAAACCCCTAAAACATTTCTAAGTGGTTGCTGTTACTCTAAGAACATTTCATGTTTCTGCTGCCTGTTTTCGTATGGCCCACAAACTAGGAATGGTTTTGACATTTTTAGGGGGTTGCAAAAAATAAAGAAAAGAATATTTCACGACACATGGATGTTATATGAGATTCAAATTTCAGAGTTCACAAAGTTTTATTGGAACATTGTCATCATTATGATTGGCTCATTTGTTTCTGTATTGTCTGGGCTGCTTTCATATTACAGTAGGATCGAGTGGTTTTGGTGGAGACCAGCTGGCCAGCAACACCTAATCTAGGTTCTGTCTGGATCTTTCCAACAGAAATTTTCTGACCTCTACTTGTCGGACAGAAAGCACTGAATCCCCATAGGTACAGGTGTTAATCTCTTGGGTGGTAAGTGGAACTTGTTCTTTGGCATAGTCTGATTCTTTCCATCTGTATATGGGGCATTCTGAAGTTGTATTTGTCAGGAATACGTACTTTCGTAGTGACTGGCCATGTGTGTGGTGGTGTGGGTGTGTGTTTTCTGTGTAAGCTTTGAACCACAGCTTCGGATTTGTACAAGCCCAGGTACTGTCCTTTACTCTGTCCAGTGAGGAGATTCACAGGCTGTATTTCCCCCTCTTTTGCCATCCTGCAGGTGTAATCCTTCCAGAGATTCTCAGTGGGAATATATACTGATAACACCATCATTGGCATGGGGTGGGAAGGTGTTAGAGAAAGGGACGTAGCACAAAACATGTATTTTCCTGATTGCCATCAGTATTCATCTGAAATTGGGAGATAGAATAAAGAAATTGTATTGCTGTTACTGTAGGGTTTTGTTTGTTTTATATTTTTAAAGAAAATTAGAGCACTGGTTATACTGTATGAATGATTGACTTCTAGAAAGATAGAAGGGTGTCTGGGTCATGTTTGTTTCAACAGAATGCTCTGCAGGGAGCTTTTCTCAAGGTTTGTTGCTCAGTAAACCAATGAACTAGACAAGCGAGATAGGGAAGAGTGTCTCTTCTAGAAAAATTAATGCTGCTCCTTAATGCCTCCTACTTTGCCATTGATCAGCAGTGGAGCTTAGGGAAGAGTCTGGTGAGTTTGCTGCTGAGTCACGGCTTGTCTCATGGTGCAGACCTACAGCACAGTGTGGCGTGCTCTAGTCTCATCATGTTCATGGCTTTGGAGTGGGATGTATCCCTACTGGTCATCGTATTCGTGAATTTGGGACTGAGAAGATCTTTGTCCATGAATTGACACTAACATGGACTCAGGTTCAGAACCTGCGTTTACATTCTTGCCTGGGATCAAGACATGCTTATTTGTTTTATTTGTCCTTCCAGATACTGCTGAAATTTTATGGCACTTTTATGACCGTAAAAACACTGAAATTATGTTCCTGATATGAATGATAGTATCAACCATTTAGTGAACATCTGTCATCTTAGTTTTTAACAGATGAACAAATAGATGTGGAAGGACCAAGTCACTTGCCCAGAATTATATGACTGGTGAAAGGACATTTTTGTTAGTGAGATCGTTGATGCACATTCATAATTGTCATATGGACTAATATTTATATTTATATTATGTTGGTTTATGTTATTTTATTTATTTATTTTTTAAAATGGATAGTGGATTTGAGAAGACATTATTAGCTGTGGTTCTTATCAATTTTTAAGATCCTTTTTTATGTCTAGGTGTGCCTTATTTATTTACTTACTTAATTTTTTAAAAGATTTTATTTATTTATTTATTTGACAGAGAGAGAGAGAGAGAGATAGACAGACAACAAGAGAGGGAACACAAGCAGGGGAAGTGGGAGAGGGAGAAGCAAGCTTCCCTCCGAACAGGAAGCCGGATATGGGGCTTGATCCCAGGACTCTGGGATCATGACCTGAGCTGAAGGTAGATGCTTAACCATCTGAGCCACCCAGGTGCTCCTATTTAATTTATTTTTTAAAAAAATATTTTATTTATTTGAGAGAGAGATGAATGAGCAAGAGTGAGAGAGAAAGAGAGAAAGAGAGAGAAAGAAAGAACCAGCAGGGGTAAGTGGCAGAGGGAAGGGGAGAGGCAGACTCTCCTGCTGAGCAGGGAGCCCGGTGCTGGGCTTGATCCCTGGATTATGACCTGAGCTAAAGGCAGATGCCTAACACACTGAGCCACCCAGGCATCCCTACACACCCCTCTTTATTTCTCCCATGACCTTTACCTGTATCCCTACCTCTTCATGCACAGAGCAGAGTTATTCATCTCTCCTTGAAAAGGAATCTGTTGATTTGGTGGCTAGTGCTCCGAAGTGTATTTTGGTTGACATAGAGAGGAAGAAGGGGAGCATAGCAGATGATGAGGGCCACTCTTTTGTTTTTACAGGTAACAGGTAGGAAGTCTTTAACATGCAAGGAGCTCCCCCTTGCTCTGCCTCCTGGAGTATCACTTCTGGACCCGGGGGCCACATCTCCCACAGGGAAATCAGTTTGTTACTGTTATTGATGGAGACAATCCACGTGTCCCTGACACTATCACTGCTCACCAGGATGGCACCTGGGACTAGAAAAACAGTTTTGTTTCAGACACAGAGAAGTCATAATTATTTTCTTTCTTTCTTTTTTCCTTTTTTTTTCTTTTCTTCTTCTTCTTCTTCTTCTTCTTCTTTTTTTTTTTAACTGATTCTACAGTGAAAACTTCACCATACTTCCCCTCATTTGGAGTACGTGAACTATTCAAAAGCCCTGCTAGTCATTAGTTCATTAATTGACGATACTTTATACTTAACTGAAAATGTAAAAAATCAGGAGAGGAGGAAAAATTGGAAAATGCTGAGTTATAGGAAACCTCAGAAGGTCTCCCTTCCACCTCTTCCGTTTCAAGCTCAGAGTAAAATTGTGCTTCATATGACTTTATTTATTTATTTGCTTTTAAGATGTATCTATTTATTTGAGAGAGTTTGCACACATGCATATAAGATTGTTGGGAGAGGGGGTGGGCAGAGGGAGAGGGAGAGAATTTTCTCCCAAGCAGACTTCCTTGAGCGCAGAGCCTGACGCCAGGCTCCATCTCATGATCTCACGACCCTGAGATCGTGACCTGAGCCACGAGTCAGACGTTCAACCACCTGAGCCACCCAGGTGCCCTTGTTTATGTTTTTTAAAGTGAAAAGTGAAAAAGATGAAATAGTTATCAGTTATAAAATATCTCTATTATTGACAGAACTCAGACTGTTATCTCTGTGGAGATTTCAGATTAAAGGGGGATAATTTGATACAACATAGTGATGTCACACTTAGTACATTGTGCTTTATAGTCTAGACATTTTCACGTAATATTATTTGTTGGATTTTAGCCTGTGATGCAGAGGAAGGTTAAGAGGTTCGTTTAGGTTTACCGGTTTGTTAATGGTCCAACTGGAATTGAAACTGAGGCTTCCTGATGTTCTGTGTAGTAATCTCCCTACTGCATACAGCCATCAGCTCATACGGGATCTGCCTGTCGATGGGTGGAGTTTTCTGGCATCAGACACAGGGTATGTTGGTCGCTGGAAGCTGGTGCTATTTATCAGTTAGGATTGCAAGTTTAGGAATTCTGTAAGCTTTGCATTTCGAAATACTGGACTGGTACCTTACTTAGACACAGAGCCCAAAGTGTCATTGTTGTTTAGAAATTATAGCGAGAAGGATAGGTGCAGCACTGGAGAGATGAAATTATGGACAAAGTGACGTGTTCCTGTGATGGAAATGCTGCAAGACTCCATCAGACCGTGAGCGTAAAGTGTGGTGATGGAATGACAGGATCCACACACTTGTCATGTCCTCTGCACCCGGGCGCTGTATGCTCATTTATATTTCTCAGGGCATCTCTCTTTCATTCCTTCTCAGGGATATATATCATAGTCAAGCCATATGGACATTAGTCACAGCTTTATTTACTCCCTTTGTAAGAAATAATGCAATTTATATAAGAAATAATGCAGTTTCTATTGTTCAGCTTAAAGCATTTTTTATGGATTTCAGAGTTCCCTGTAATTATGTTTCTTTCCATACAAGGTGAAGCTGAATGATCTGCTGCCCATCCAGACTTTATTTTTTTTTTTTTAAAGATTTTATTTATTCATTTGACAGAGAGAGAGATCACAAGTAGGCAGGGAGGCAGGCAGAGAGAGAGGAGGAAACAGGCCCTCCGCGGAGCAGAGAGCCCGATGTGGGGCTCGATCCCAGGACTCTGGGATCATGATCTGAGCCGAAGGCAGAGGCTTTAACCCACTGAGCCACTCAGGCGCCCCCCCATCCAGACTTTTAATTGGAAAAAAATTTATTTGCCACATAGGTATGGAATTTCTGCTGCTGAAGAAAATCATAATTTACTTTTTCTTTTATAGAGTGGAAAACCACCCATTAATGATATGTTCACAGACCTCAAAGATGGAAGGAAGCTCCTGGATCTTCTGGAAGGCCTCACAGGAACATCACTGGTGAGAGGAGTCTTCTTTGAGAACCAGACTAATGGAGTGTCTCTCATCATTAGTGACTTGAAGACCCTTGGGGGTACTTAAAATGTACAGGCCCAAATAGGAACATTAAAAAAAAAAGTATTTCAGTGAATTTTTGATAGAACATTATTAGGCTTTATTGAGGGCTCTATTTTTATCAAAGATAAGATTATTTATTATATTTATTGCTCTCAGGGAGCCCAGGAGAGAATTACAAAAGAAGAATGGCTATGGGAAGAGGGCATACTGTTTTGAATAGTAGAGAACACATTTTTTGTTTTTTAGAAGATGCTAGTTGTAGAAAACGCATTTAAATGTTATTTAGTAAATATCTTAAGGAGTTGTTAAAAGCTATGGCATTTATTTTTATTCAGTTTTTCAGTATTACTTTTGTTTCTTCATCAAACCCTAATCTATTACTTTATGTGTTATACTCACACAGAAATAACTCCGCTATTGAAGAGGATACATTTTTATGGGTACAAACTTTAACACTAGAGGAAGAATTAGTATAGAAGGTACAGAGAAATGTACTCCTGAAGATGAATTCCTTTCTTGCCAAAGCGTGAGGTGTTATACTCGGCCTTTTGCCTTCCAGGCGGTGGGTGAGACACCTGTTGGAGAGGCTGATCCCTTTCTCAGATAAGATTCCTGGGCCAGTGAGGCAGAAAAGCCTCCAGATCACGTTGCCCCAGATGGCTACTCCTGCCTTCCCACTGGGCCCTTGTCACCTGGGAACCTGAGATAGTGCCTCTGAATCCTTCCTGCTCTGTGCCCCCCGGGGCAGTATGAAGGTGACATGACTTCTCAGTCTTCCTGAGTCCATCCCAGGTTAGATAAAAGAAACTGGCTCCTGGAAGCCTTGGTTTCCAAACTGGCCTGCACGTTAGAATCACCAAGGAAATCTTGTAGAAATTCCAAATGCCTGCTACACCCCAGAATCACTAAGTGATCATCTTTGGGGGTAGGACTAAACAGGTTTGCTATTTTTTGAATGCTAGGATTCAGGCAAGTGAGGGATCTACTATCTTAGGATGTTGGTGGGGTCATTTGCATTCTGTCACGAGGAGCCTCCGTGGTGGCCTGAGAAGCCAGCCAGAGCTCCTGGCAGAGAGGGGCTCTGCAGGCTGAGCCTCTCTGTACACCTCAGTGTCCCTGTTTGTTGGCAACGTGGAGAGTCGGTCTCATTTGATGTCACGTTTTGTTTTCTAGCCGAAGGAACGTGGCTCCACAAGGGTCCATGCTTTAAATAATGTCAACAGAGTGCTGCAGGTTTTACATCAGAACAATGTAAGTTCACGGTGTGACTTTTGGGGTTCTTTGGTGCCATCCAGATTATTTATCATCAAACCAGCCACCTGCTCTGCATTGTCATCAGCTGATTTTTAGAAACATTTTTCTTACATTAAGTATTGAACCTTTTCTGTAAAGGAGGGAAGAGTCATGCTTTTTCTGATTTCTTTATTGATCTATTGTATAAATAATACATTTTTGAGATTTAGGCATATCTGCTTCTCTAAAATGAAATTGCTCTTATCATTCACTTATACTGCTGTCCAAAGTCACTAAAACAAAAGTCTGGGCTTCTGTGGCTAAATTGTCATAAGAGGGTTTTGTTTGTTTTTGTTTTTTTTTTTTTTCTTAATAGGTGGATTTAGTGAATATAGGAGGAACTGACATTGTTGATGGAAATCACAAACTGACTTTGGGATTACTTTGGAGTATCATTTTGCACTGGCAGGTGGGGAAATTTTCAATCACTTCTTAATAGAAATGGAACATGTATCATTTGTGTGTTAGTTTCTTAGGGCTGCCATCCCAGAGTACCACAGTCTGTGTGGCTTCAACAAGAGAAATTAATTTTCTCATGGTTCTGGAGGCTAGAAATCTGAGCTCGATGTGTCAGCAACATTGGTTTCTTTTGAGGCCTCTCTCCTTGTCTTGTGGGTCACTGCCTTCTTCCTGTGTCCTCATGGTGTTCCCTCTTTGTGTGTGTCTTTGTCCTGATCGCCTCTTCTAGTCATAATGGGTTAGGGCCCACCCCTACGATCTCATTTTACCTTCATGAGAGATCCTGTTTCCAAATACATTCACATTCACCAGTAGTGGGGTTAGGACTAAAAGAATTTGGGGGGGGGGCACAATTCAGCTCATAGTAATTTAGAATGAAAGCGTCTGACAAACAGCTGTATTCTCCTGGCATAGAAAAAATATCTTTTTTTTGAAAATATTAAATTTAAAAAGTTGACATAATTTCTGTTTTTATTAAAAAAATTGCAAAAATAGCTTCAAGAATTCCTGGATACCTTTTACTCAGATTCCCCAAATACTGACAGTTATTATCTATACTTCTATGTTTTCTATCTTTCTCTTTGCCTAAATACTTCAGTGTGTATTCTGTAAAAACCTTTTTCTTCAAAGTAAGGAATTCTCTTATATAACTAGAATATAATGTTAATATCATAATATACATGTACAATATATAATATAGTACTAATACTGTTAAACATATAATTATATACTAAAATAATATGTAATTATTAAAATCAGGAAGATAATATAAAAACAATACAATTACATAATTTATACATCTTAGGGAGATTTTTTTCAATTGCCCTGGTAATATCCTTTATAAAAGAAAAAGAAAATACAAAATCATGCATTACATTTATTTGTCACATCTCTTTAGTCCTCTTTAATCTGGAATAGTTTTTGAGTCCTTCTTTGTATTTCATGATATTGAGCTTTTTGAAAAGTACTGGACAATTACTTTGTAGAATATCCCTCCATGTGGGTTTGGCTGGTATTTTCTCATGATTAGACTCAGGTTATTGATTATTATTATTAGACTTGATTCCAGCAACTATTTTAAGTTATAGGCAGCATGGTTTTTTGAACAGGTAAAGGATGTCATGAAAGATGTCATGTCAGACTTGCAACAGACAAACAGTGAGAAGATCTTACTGAGCTGGGTGCGCCAGTCTACTAGGCTATACAGCCAGGTCAACGTCCTCAACTTCACCACCAGCTGGACAGATGGACTTGCCTTTAATGCCGTGCTCCACCGACACAAGTGAGATACGTCCTTATTTAGATGTGGGCCTTACAGATTTGTATCTCCTCTCTGTCTCTCCCTTACTATTCCTCCCTAAAGCCCCTTCCCCACTGCCACCACTGTCCTCTCTGCACATGCTTAAACATTAAGAAAAGAAACATTATGGCAGAAAATACCCATTGAGTCTTCATTTCCATAGGATTCAAATGCCACAGTGTGATGTCCTTGCTTTCTTCTACGTATTTATAAGTTTTAAAAAATGTAAAATAATTCATATAGTTCAGTCCCACTCATTCAGCACTAACCAGTAATATATACAGTGGATTGTGTTTCCATTCTTATACCAAAAGGAAAACTCTATAAATTTATAAATTCAATGCAATCTCAATTAAATAAAGACAATTGATTTTTTTCATAAAGCATGTAATTGTATGAAAGACTAAAGACCCAAGGAGAGCCAGTACCCTCCTGAGGAAGAACCAGGTTGAAGTGCCTCTGAAACAAAAATAAAATTAGTTGTGAGGCTATATTTATTAAGACTATATATGTAGTGCTAGAAATACATGAATATAATAATGGTCTGAATAATGTAAAATTGCAAACATTTGACTGTTTTGACATATAAGAATGGCAGTTTCATGGAGTTCAGTCTAACAGGATAAGGAACTCAGAAATAGCTCCATCCTGCTGTGCACCTGAGCTGATGTTGGAGATAAGCAGATGAATAGATAGTATGGGACAACTGGTTACCCATATGTGAATAAATAAATGGGATCCTTACCTCCCATACCCAAAAGTAATTCCAGATGTATCAAGGATTTAAATGTAAAAGGCAAAATATTTTATATATTTTGTTGCTATTATAAATTACTTATTGTTTCAAGTTTCTGTTTCCTGTATGTTTTTTGCTGATATATAAAAAAAAGTTTTTGTTTCAAGTTTCTGTTTCCTGTATGTTTTTTGCTGATATGTAAAAAAAAAAGCAGTTGACTTTTCTCCATCTTAGATCTGGAAACTTGTTAAAATTTTACAAATTTTACAAAAACATATCTGTAATTGGGTGTTTCTGTAGGGTGGATTTTTTTTTTTTTTGACTATCCGTGAATCATAATAGTTTCTTCTCTCCTCTTTTCTTCTCTTCCCCCTTCATTTTTGCCTTGTCCTTCAATATAGTATTGATTTGAATTACTGATAGTGAGCAGAATGTTTTGTTCTACATTATGAAGGGAGTAGTTTCAGTATTTTACCACAAGACTGCTATCTGCTGTAGCTTTTTTTTTTTTTATAAACATATAATATATTTTTATCCCCAGGGGTACAGGTCTGTGAATCGCCAGGTTTACACACTTCACAGCACTCACCATAGCACATACCCTCCCCAATGTCCATAATCCCACCCCCCCAACCCCCCTCCCCCCATCAACCCTCAGTTTGTTTTGTGAGATTAAGAGTCACTTATGGTTTTTCTCCCTCCCAATCCCATCTTGTTTCATTTACTCTTCTCCTACCCCCTTAACCCACCATGTTGCATCTCCTCTCCCTCATATCAGGGAGATCATATGATAGTTGTCTTTCTCCGATTGACTTATTTCGCTAAGCATGATACCCTCTAGTTCCATCCACGTCGTCGCAAATGGCAAGATTTCATTTCTTTTGATGGCTGCATAGTATTCCATTGTGTATATATACCACATCTTCTTTATCCATTCGTCTGTTGATGGACATCTAGGTTCTTTCCATAGTTTGGCTATTGTAGACATTGCTGCTATAAACATTCAGGTGCACGTGCCCCTTCGAATCACTACGTTCGTATCTTTAGGGTAAATACCCAGTAGTGCAATTGCTGGGTCATAGGGTAGTTCTATTTTCAACATTTTGAGAAACCTCCATGCTGTTTTCCAGAGTGGTTGCACCAGCTTGCATTCCCACCAACAGTGTAGGAGGGTTCCCCTTTCTCCGCATCCTTGCCAGCATCTGTCATTTCCTGACTTGTTAATTTTAGCCATTCTGACTGGTGTGAGGTGATATCTCATTGTGGTTTTGATTTGTATTTCCCTGATGCCGAGTGATGTGGAGCACTTTTTCATGTGTCTGTTGGCCATCTGGATGTCTTCTTTGCAGAAATGTCTGTTCATGTCCTCTGCCCATTTTTTGATTGGATTATTTGTTCTTTGGGTGTTGAGTTTACTAAGTTCTTTATAGATTTTGGACACTAGCCCTTTATCCGATATGTCGTTTGCAAATATCTTCTCCCATTCTGTCAGTTGTCTTTTGGTTTTGTTAACTTTCCTTTGCTGTGCAAAAGCTTTTGATCTTGATGAAATCCCAATAGTTCATTTTTGCCCTTGCTTCCCTTGCCTTTGGTGATGTTCCTAGGAAGATGTTGCTGCGGCTGAGGTCGAAGAGGTTGCTGCCTGTGTTCTCCTCAAGGATTTTGATGGATTCCTTTCTCACATTGAGGTCCTTCATCCATTTTGAGTCTATTTTCGTGTGTGGTGTAAGGAAATGATCCAATTTCATTTTTCTGCATGTGGCTGTCCAATTTTCCCAACACCATTTATTGAAGAGGCTGTCTTTTTTCCATTGGACATTCTTTCCTGCTTTGTCGAAGATGAGTTGACCATAGAGTTGAGGGTCTCTTTCTGGGCTCTCTATTCTGTTCCATTGATCTATGTGTCTGTTTTTGTGCCAGTACCATGCTGTCTTGATGATGACAGCTTTGTAATAGAGCTTGAAGTCCGGAATTGTGATGCCACCAACTTTGGCTTTCTTTTTCAATATTCCTTTGGCTATTCGAGGTCTTTTCTGGTTCCATATAAATTGTAGGATTATTTGTTCCATTTCTTTGAAAAAAATGGATGGTACTTTGATAGGAATTGCATTAAATGTGTAGATTGCTTTAGGTAGCATAGACATTTTCACAACATTTATTCTTCCAATCCAGGAGCATGGAACATTTTTCCATTTCTTTGTGTCTTCCTCAATGTCTTTCATGAGTACTTTATAGTTTTCTGTGTATAGATTCTTAGCCTCTTTGGTTAGGTTTATTCCTAGGTATCTTATAGTTTTGGGTGCAATTGTAAATGGGATTGACTCCTTAATTTCTCTTTCTTCTGTCTTGTTGTTGGTGTAGAGCAATGCAACTGATTTCTGGGCATTGATTTTATATCCTGACACTTTACTGAATTCCTGTACAAGTTCTAGCGGTTTTGGAGTGGAGTCTTTTGGTTTTTCCACATATAGTATCATATCATCCGCAAAGAGTGATAGTTTGACTTCTTCTTTGCCGATATGGATGCCTTTAATTACCTTTTGTTGTCTGATTGCTGAGGCTAGGACTTCTAGTACTATGTTGAATAGCAGTGGTGATAACGGACATCCCTGCCGTGTTCCTGACCTTAGCGGAAAAGCTTTCAGTTTTTCTCCATTGAGAATGATATTTGCGGTGGGTTTTTCATAGATGGCTTTGATAATATTGAGGTATGTGCCCTCTATCCCTACACTTTGAAGAGTTTTGATCAGGAAGGGATGCTGTACTTTGTCAAATGCTTTTTCAGCATCTATGGAGAGTATCATATGGTTCTTGTTCTTTCTTTTATTGTGTTGTATCACATTGATTGATTTGCGGATGTTGAACCAACCTTGCAGCCCTGGAATAAATCCCACTTGGTCGTGGCGAATAATCCTTTTAATGTACTGCTGAATCCTATTGGCTAGTATTTTGGTGAGAATTTTTGCATCTGTGTTCATCAAGGATATTGGTCTGTAGTTCTCTTTTTTGATGGGATCCTTGTCTGGTTTTGGGATCAAGGTGATGCTGGCCTCATAAAATGAGTTTGGAAGTTTTCCTTCCATTTCTATTTTTTGGAACAGTTTCAGGAGAATAGGAATTAGTTCTTCTTTAAATGTTTGGTAGAATTCCCCCGGGAAGCCGTCTGGCCCTGGGCTTTTGTTTGTTTGGAGATGTTTGATGACTGTTTCAATCGCCTTACTGGTTATGGGTCTGTTGAGGCTTTCTATTTCTTCCTGGTTCAGTTGTGGTAGTTTATATGTCTCTAGGAATGCATCCATTTCTTCCAGATTGTCAAATCTGTTGGCGTAGAGTTGCTCATAGTATGTTCTTATAATTGTCTGTATTTCTTTGGTGTTCGTTGTGATCTCTCCTCTTTCATTCATGATTTTATTTATTTGGGTCCTTTCTCTTTTCTTTTTGAGAAGTCTGGCCAGGGGTTTATTGATCTTATTAATTCTTTCAAAGAATCAGCTCCTAGTTTCATTGATTTGTTCTATTGTTTTTTTGGTTTCTATTTCATTGATTTCTGCTCTGATCTTTATGATTTCTCTTCTCCTGCTGGGTTTAGGGTTTCTTTGTTGTTCTTTCTCCAGCTCCTTTAGGTGTAGGGTTAGGTTGTGTACCTGAGACCCTTCTTGTTTCTTGAGAAAGGCTTGTACCGCTATATATTTTCCTCTCAGGACTGCCTTTGTTGTGTCCCACAGATTTTGAACCGTGGTGTTTTCATTATCATTTGTTTCCATGAATTTTTTCAATTCTTCTTTAATTTCCTGGTTGACCCATTCATTCTTTAGAAGGATGCTGTTTAGTCTCCATGTATTTGGGTTCTTTCCAAATTTCCTCTTGTGATTGAGTTCTAGCTTCAGAGCATTGTGGTCTGAAAATATGCAGGGAATGATTCCAATCTTTTGATACCGGTTGAGACCTGATTTAGGACCGAGAATGTGATCTATTCTGGAGAATGTTCCATGTGCACTAGAGAAGAATGTGTATTCTGTTGCTTTGGGATGAAATGTTCTGAATATATCTGTGATGTCCGTCTGGTCCAGTGTGTCATTTAAGGCCTTTATTTCCTTGTTGATCTTTTGCTTGGATGATCTGTCCATTTCAGTGAGGGGAGTGTTAAAGTCCCCTACTATTATTGTATTATTGTCGATGTGTTTCTTTGATTTTGTTATTAATTGGTTCATATAGTTGGCTGCTCCCACGTTAGGGGCATAGATATTTTAAATTGTTAGATCTTCTTGTTGGACAGTTCCTTTGAGTATGATATAGTGTCCTTCCTCATCTCTTATTATAGTCTTTGGCTTAAAATCTAATTGATCTGATATAAGGATTGCCACTCCTGCTTTCTTCTGATGTCCATTAGCATGGTAAATTCTTTTCCACCCCCTCACTTTAAATCTGGAGGTGTCTTCGGGTTTAAGATGAGTTTCTTGTAGGCAACATATAGATGGGTTTTGTTTTTTTATCCATTCTGATACCCTGTGTCTTTTGATTGGGGCTTTTAGCCCATTAACATTCAGGGTAAGTATTGAGAGATAGGAATTTAGTGCCACTGTATTGCCTGTAAGGTGACTGTTATTGTATATTGTCTCTGTTTCTTTCTGATCTACTACTTTTAGGGTTTCTCTTTGCTTAGAGGACCCCTTTCAATATTTCCTGTAGAGCTGGTTTGGTGTTTGCGAATTCTTTCAGTTTTTGTTTGTCCTGGAAGCTTTTAATCTCTCCTTCTATTTTCAATGATAGCCTAGCTGGATATAGTATTCTTGGCTGCATGTTTTTCTCATTTAGTGCTCTGAATATATCATGCCAGCTCTTTCTGGCCTGCCAGGTCTCTGTGGATAAGTCTGCTGCCAATCTAATATTTTTACCATTGTATGTTACAGACTTCTTTTCCCGGGCTGCTTTCAGGATCTTCTCTTTGTCACTAAGACTTGTAAATTTGACTGTTAGGTGACGGGGTGTGGACCTATTCTTATTGATTTTGAGGGGGGTTCTCTGAACCTCCTGGATTTTGATACTTGTTCCCTTTGCCATATTGGGGAAATTCTCTCCAATAATTCTCTCCAATATACCTTCTGCTCCCCTCTCTGTTTCCTCTTCTTCTGGAATCCCAATTATTCTAATGTTGTTTCGTCTTATGGTGTCACTTATCTCTCGAATTCTCCCCTCGTGGTCCAGTAGCTGTTTGTCCCTCTTTTGCCCAGCTTCTTTATTCTCTGTCATTTGGTCTTCTCTATCGCTAATTCTTTCTTCTGCCTCATTTATCCTAGGAGTGAGAGCCTCCATTTTTGATTGCACCTCATTAATAGCTTTTTTTATTTCAACTTGGTTAGATTTCAGTTCTTTTATTTCTCCAGAAAGGGCTTTTATATCTCCCGAGAGGGTTTCTCTAATATCTTCCTTGCCTTTTTCGAGCCCAGCTAGAACCTTGAGACTCGTCATTTTGAACTCTAGATCTGACATATTACCAATGTCTGTATTGATTAGTTCCCTAGCCTTTGGTACTGCCTTTTGTTCTTTTTTTTGTGGTGAATTTTTCCGCCTTGTCATTTTGTCCAGATAAGTGTATATGAAGGAGCAAGTAAAATACTAAAAGGGTGGCAACAACCCCAGGAAACTATGCTTTAGCCAAATCAGAAGAGATCCCAAATCGTGAGTGGGGAGAAAGGGGATAAAAAGAGGTTAAAAAAAAAAAAAAAAAAAAAAAAAAAAAAAAAAAAAGAAAGAAACAATTAAAAAAAGAAAACCAATAAGAAAAAATATAAAAAGGAAAAAAAATATACATTAGATAAACTAGTTAAAAAACGTTAAAAAAGAAAAGGGTAAAAGTTAAAAAAATTTAGCAGAAGAAAAAAAAATTGAAAAAGAAAAAAAAGTTAAATCAACTGCAAGGCTAAAGAATCATGGGGAGAAAGCCATGAGTTCCGTGCTTTGCTTTCTCCTCCTCTGGAATTCCGCTGCTCTCCTTGGTATTGAAACTACACTCCTTGGTAGGTGAACTTGTTCCTGGCTGGGTTTCTTGTTGATCTTCTGGGGGAGGGGCCTGTTGTAGTGATTCTTAAGTGTCTTTGCCCCAGGCGGAGTTGCACCGCCCTTACCTGGGCCGGTCTGTGTAATCTCATTGGGTTTGCTTTCGGGAGCTTTTGTTCCCTGAGCGCTTTCTGCTTTCCGTAGAGTTCCGGAGGGCGGGAATGAAGATGGCGGCCTCCCGGTCTCCAGCCCAGAGGAGCTGAGAGCCCGGGGCCACACTCCTCAGTGCGCCCTTAGAGAACAGCGCCCAATTACTCCCGTCACCCTAGCCTCCGGCCGCGCTCTGAGCTGACTGAGCCTGCGACCGGTTCAAGGTAACCCCGAGCTTAGCGCGTACTCCTCGGCTCTGTCTCTGTAGCCGGCTTCCCCGTTCTAATACCTGTAAGCTCTGCGACACTGAGACACCCCCGATCCTTCTGTGACCCTGCGGGACCTGAGGCCACGCTGACCCTGCGTGGGCTTCACCCCGGTTAAGCCTCTGGAGCGATGTCCCTCAGCGGAACAGACTTTTAAAAGTCCCGATTTTGTGCTCCGTTGCTCCGCCGCTTGCCGGGAGCCGGCCCCTCCCCCCGCGGTCTATCTTCCCGTCGCTTTGGATTCACTTCTCCGCCAGTCCTACCTTTCAGAAAGTGGTTGATTTTCTGTTTCTAGAGTTGCTGTTCTTCTTCTCTTCGATCTCCCGTTGGATTTGTAGGTGTTTGCAATCTTTAGATAAGCTATCTAGCTGATCTCCCGCTACCTGAAGTAGTCTCAGCCTGCTACTTCTCTGCCATCTTGACTCGTCCTCTGCTGTAGCTTTTTCATATACTTTTTATCTAGTTAAAGAACTCCCATACCCAAGTGTCTTCCACTTCTTCTTTATCAGTTTAAGAGGACTGGCCTCTCTTCCTAGCTGATTTAGAGATGTTGTCAAAGAAATTTAATTTTAGCCAAAGGTTTTCCCCAACTATTACTTAATTGAGTTAGCAATCATGTGTGGAGTGCCTTCTTTGTGCTAGGTATTGGCAGTATAGCAGAGAACAAAACAAGCAAAAATCCCAGTCCTTTTGGAATTTCCATTCAAATAGAAGGAGGAAGACAATTTAAAAAATGTTAATGTAGGCCATATAGTATTTAGAAATAGTAAACATGCTGACGTAAAATATATCAGGCAAGAGGGAATGAGGGACCAGCATTTAGGAAGTCAGTGGGTACAGTGGCATGAGTAGGAGGAGTATTAAGAGATGAGGTCAGAGGAGGAACTGGGTATGGCAGTAGGGCAGGCAAAGCCCAGAAATTAAGTGGGTCTAAGATCCAAGAACAGATAGAGTACAAAGAAAATGACCAATTTTGGGGTGGGTCAGAGCAACAATAATGTCTAATTTGCTGGGTTAAAAGAAAATTGAGGCAGAAAGGAAATACTAGACAATAGTAGTATGGAGGGGGATGACTGATGAAAAATTCTCTCAGGGTTTTGTTGCAGGAATATCCCATGAGCAGATCAAAGCTGGATTTTCTATTCTGCCAATCTTGGTCTTTCAGTTGGAGAATTTAGTCCATTAACATTGATTGTGATAATTAATTTATCTAGGTTCATTTTTACCTCTTGTTTTAAGCTTCTTATTTCTTTTAACTTTTCTGTGTATTTTTTCTTCGTTGTCTTATATGGATGGGTTCTTCTTCCCTTTTTTTCCTTTACTATTTGGGAAATATTATGTACCATTTCTAATCTTTTTGTGGTTACTTCAAAAATTTTAATAGGCATATTTAACTAACACAAGAAACTTAGAATGTTTTATCCATTGTTTTCATGTTGTAAATTACTTTAAAATACATATTTTACAAGCCTTTGGGATATAAAAGATAAAAATTTCTTCATTGAAACTCACAGGTAAAATAATCTAAAAGTGAAATGTGTTAAAGTATAGCAGTGACTACTTTGTCCGTATATTTCATTTTCATTTATTTTATTTGCATTGTAATTTTCAGACCTGATCTCTTCAGCTGGGATAGAGTTGTCAAAATGTCCCCAATTGAGAGACTTGAACATGCCTTCAGCAAAGCTCAAACTTATTTGGGAATAGAAAAGCTGTTAGATCCTGAAGGTATTGCTCAGTGTTTAATTTCAACCTTGATTTTGCTTTACAATTTTGAGTACTTGAAATTTTTTTTTTCTTTTTTAGAAAGAGTAATAAGAATTGTGGATTTTTTTTTCCTTTGAAGTATGGTGCAAACCATTTCATTGCAGACTAGTTATTAGTATTATTGTACTTAATTTGTAGGATGCTTTGGTGGGAAATTTAATTACATCATTGGAGAATAGTTACTTATACTACCATAAGATTTAAAGTTTAAGAAAATACAATTATTAGAGAAACAGTTCAATATTTGTCTTATTTAATTAAAGTGCATTTTTTGTGATCTTGCATATAATGTAAAAACTTTAGTTACAGATATTGCAGAGTTGAATCCTAAACTTTTCATAGTATAAGTAAAGTCTGTGTCATCTTAAGTGGTAGCTTATCTGAACATTTTTGGGAAGCTTTTAGGGAGATTTTTAAGAAATAGGTTACTGAACAAAATAAATAATCTTCTTTGCCCTTGTCTCATCTATTATTATATGAACTAGAAATTTACTGAGTTCTGGTATTGCAAAGATTATATACTAGTATTGTTTATGGGTACTAAAGGTAGTTATTTTATAGCTAATATTGAGCAATTCACATATTTTCGACATCTAATTTAAGCTGCTTCTTATTTTCTTCCACTTTTAGATGTTGCTGTTCAGCTTCCTGACAAGAAATCCATAATTATGTATTTAACATCTTTGTTTGAGGTGCTTCCTCAGCAAGTCACTCTAGATGCCATCCGTGAAGTAGAGACACTCCCAAGGAAATACAAGAAAGAATGTGAAGAAGGAGAGATTAGTATACAGGTACAGGTCAATTTTTATTAAAAAGTTTGACTTGCCATATTTGTTTTCTCTTAGGTACTAGATTAAAACACTTTCAGGGGAGTCTTTCCTTGACTGAGAACATCTTGGGCTCTCAGCTTACATAGGCATAAGAAGTTCCGTTTATCAGTTGGCATGCTATCATATGTCAGCAGTGTGTAATGGAAAATGGTGGCTCAACTGATTTTACTGGGAAGGAACATAAGTTATTTTAGACAATAAGCCTGGAATTAGAGTCCAGGACTGTGAACATTCTGCTGCACGATAGGCTTAAGAACCTACCTTTTCCCATTGTCTGTTCATTTTATCTTTGTTGTCATGTGCAGAAGATGGTTTTCCCACATCAGCCTAGTGTGTTCCAAATACTAATCTTTTTTCTTTCTTTCTTTTTTTTTTCTTTGCCACTGAGAAAAAGATTTTAATCATTATAGTCCCACAAGGGCTATCAAAATGTAAGTTTTATTTCCCCTTCATTTAGGAGGAGTAATTGCCAGTAGGCTACTGCGTTTTTCACTTAAGGGCTTCCAGTGTTTTTTTTTTTTTTTTTTTTAAAGATTTTATTTATTTACTTGACAGAGAGAGAGATCACAAGTAGGCAGAGAGGCAGGCAGAGAGAGGGAAACAGGCTCCCCGCTGAGCAGAGAGCCCGACATGGGACTCGATCCCAGGACCCTGAGATCATGACCTGAGCCGAAGGCAGTGGCCTAACCCACTGAGCCACCCAGGCATTCCTTCCAGTGGTTTTATTCACCAGGATATAAATGTATATTTGGGGGAAGATACAAAGTCATGAATTTTTCTTCCTGATTGATCATGTCTTGAATCAATCTGTATTTTCTTATTCTGTTGTAGTCTAACCAGTTCTCTTTTTTTCTTTTTTTTAAAGATTTTATTTATTTATCGGACAGAGATCACAGGTAGGCAGAGAGGCAGGCAGAGAGAGGAGGGGAAGCAGGCTCCCCGCTGAGCAGAGAGCCAGATGTGGGGCTTGATCCCAGGACCCTGGGATCATGACCTGAGCTGAAGGCAGAGGCTTAACCCACTGAGCCACCCAGGCATCCTAACCAGTTCTCTTAATTCATAAAATGAGAGAATCTTAATAGTTGGACAAAACCTTTTCAAAAGTCATTTGGTCCAGCATGTTAGCCAGCTAAGCAACTAAGGGATGTACATGGCTTTCAAAATGATAAATAAATACATTTTAGAGAGTCAGAAAGCACGGGCTTGGAAGCTCAAAGTTCATTCCTGTTACAGTTTGTTTTGAGTTGCTTACTTACCTTTTCAACCACAGTTTTAGCTGAAAAATCTGCATAAAACCACCCACTTATAAAGGTGAGTCAAAGTACCTACAGTGATATTGATAGACATTCAATAGGCAGCAACTATCATCACTATAACTTTTCCTTCTAAATTAGTTTTGGCACTGCCATTTATCCTCACTCAAGAAGTTCCTTTGTAAAGAATGTTAATTCTCATCTAATGACAGTGGTCTTGAATTGGCATTAACACTTGTTTTTCATTCTCCGGGGCTCAGAGAGGTTACTTACTATTTCTGATTTTCTATGGTAGTAGGTACCAATTCTTTTATGTTCCCCATTTCAAAAAATAGCATGACTTAGAGAAAAAGAAAATAACTTACTGAAGGAAAGAGGGCAAGAGATGGGCCAGCTTTTGAACCCAGGGCTCTTTCGTAGTTTTGAAAATCGAGTGATACTGAGGAAAAAGCCCTCATGTTCTATAACTGACTGAAAAGAATGCTGAGAAGCATTTGTTTTGAGTAACATAGCTATCTGTCATTAATGATGCACCCTGCTAATTGGCTCAGATAATCTTCTGAGGTTGCCTTTTGGTTTTAAAATCATTTCTTTATTAGATCAGGGTTCCTTTCATTAGAAAGATGGTATATTTTACTTCATGCAGTTAAAGCCATCTTAAAAAGGAAGGAAATTTCATTTGCCTTTCATTATGTGTAGATAAAATCATCATTTTTGTTTAGTGCTCAGGATTCCATGATAAGAATTAGAGAAGCCATTTGCCGTTTGATTAAGAGGAAGTGTATCAACATTTTCCTGCTTTCATTAGTGCCATAGAGGCTGAATTAAGTTAACTGAAGAAATAAAATGTGGCTAAGTTTTAATCATCTATCTACTCTTTGACAGAGTTTGCCACCCGCTCCTTTCCAATGAATACTGATAGCCAGCCTTCCTCTCTGGCTCTTCCTATAAACATATGCTGTAGGGCTTAGGTAGTCAGCAAATAATTCTTGCGTTTCTCTGTAAATCACACTTTCAGTTCAAAGTCTCCTCTCGTGTTTCAATTAATACCTTCTGAACATTGGCAGTTAAATAATGCCTTCCACCTCAACCCTCAGGGATCGTAGGGCCCATCTAAGTGACTGTTGGCTGGTCACTAACTGTCCTTGTGCTCAGGTATCCTCATTGTAGTCTAGAGGTTTGGTACTAAATGATATCCAGGGTTATTTTGTCTCCACAGTTTGAAGATTTTAGGTCCAGAACTCATCTCATTTCCCCTTCTCTGTTTGGCACCATCTATGTCTTAATTATCCAGTGTTTCATCTGCGTGCTCCCTGATTCACTTTTTTAACTCCTGCATGTGGTTTACTGGGTCTGTTTGGTTCTTCCATCAAAATGTTTTTGGTGTGTGTTTCCTTTCTGTTCCAGCCTTCATGCTAATTAAAGGCCTCATCTTCTCTTTTTGTTTTCAAGAGCCAGACTACCTCTGCAGTCAGTTCCTCTCTGGCTGCTGCTCTGTAGTCATGGCGGACATTGTCTTTTCCTTCCCCGAGACTTTGTTCACGTGCGTTCTTGTCTGTGAAATGCTTCTGCACCTCCTATGTGAATGGCAAGCTTCCTGTCTTTTCTGGTTCACTGGGACTTTTTCAGAGAAGTCTTTCCTGAAACCCAACCCCATATACACAATACACACACACACACACACACACGCACGCACTCACGCACCCGAGGACAGTTGCCTCAAAAAATACCATTGGTATACCAGTCTGGATGTGTCGCTGTGTTTCAGTGTCTAAAATGCAGTACAAAATGCAACTAAGTAAAACTGGGGGTCAAAGCAGAGTTCTGGTCTCTATCTGTTTTTCTTTAAATTATATCCATCCTTCAAGGCCCAACATGTTCCAGATTCACTATAAAACTTTCCTATTTTAGCCCTTAGTGTACTCAAATAGCATCCCTCATTGGATCCATGGAATTTATAACTTTGCTAATAGCCATTTTATTTTTGTTCAGAAGTGATTCATGTGGGTTATTTATCTCTCTGGCTATATTAAAATTTCCATGAGTACAGAATCCATGAGTGCATTCTACTTTTGTCCTCTTTGCCTTCCCAGCACACTTCATAAATGCCTCCTGCTCCGTTTATGGCATTGTGTGCCCTGCTCCTGAGAATTGGATGAATGCCTAAGTCATGGTGGAACCTTAATGTTCTCCATACCGCGCGTCTTTGTTGAACGCCTTCTTGTTTTCATGATGCCTGTGGGTGTTCTGTTGGGTTTGTTTTTCTAGAGCTCAGCACTGGAGGAGGAGCATGAGAGTCCCGGAGCCGAAACCCCTAGCACGGTCACCGAGGTTGACATGGATCTGGACAGCTATCAGATAGCGCTGGAGGAAGTGCTGACCTGGCTGCTTTCCGCCGAGGACACTTTCCAGGAGCAGGATGACATTTCTGATGATGTGGAAGAAGTCAAAGACCAGTTTGCTACCCATGAAGTAAATAACCTGTAGCTGATGGACAGGCTGTATGCACCCTGGTGTCTGTGCCTTAATCGGGGGCTCTACCCTGATGTTCCTTGTTTACTGACAACTCCGTAGGAAGGTCATGGTATATTTTAGGACTTGCAATATTTAAATAGGACTTGGTTTTAAAATTGGTGTGCGTGAGTGTGCATTGGAATTAGATTTCAGATTTTAGTCTTATATGGCTTGTATGTTCTGTGGAGCCACGGACAAAAATTAAAGTGTTGTACTGCTTGTTTCTGAAGTTAAGAGTTATATTGTTAAAATTAAAATACCATATGGCTCATCAATACACCAAATCTTTAGGTTTTGAGTGCCCCCTAGAAAGTGACTGTTTTCATTTATCAGATAATTAAGCAAGTATCCTATCCAGTGTTCCTGTATAATTTTATATAATGAAAATTTCCTGTTGTTTTGAGACTGTATATCTTCGTAGTGTAACGATTTGATTATATGGAGATTTCCTTTGATTAAGTAGGTTTTTTTTTTTTTTTTTTGATGTGTTGGTGTATTAAGGCTGGGTGTTATTTGCTATTTTGATTTGAAAATAATAGAAGCGGTAATCTTCCTGAAGCAGGTCCTCTTGGGTGAGCATGGTGTTTTACTTATTGTATTTTCTCATAATTCCATGTTCACAATCAGTAGCGTCATCAGCATTTATTTAAAAACAGCTGGTATTATCAGATGTAACGTCGTCCTCTTTGATCTGTTCCCCTTTTTACTTAAGCCAGCTTCTTATTTCCGATACTCAGCGCTTCAACCATTGGATCAAAGTCTACTTTATTTATACTCTGCATGGCTACTTTTTTCTGTAGCACTGATATTAGGCATTAACAATTTATTAAGATTTTTTTTTCTTCAATGAGCAGCTCACAAATCATAATGATGTACCTTTCTAGGCTTTTATGATGGAGCTGACAGCACACCAGAGCAGTGTGGGGAGTGTCCTACAGGCAGGAAACCAGCTGATAACACAAGGAACTCTGTCAGATGAAGAGGAATTTGAGATTCAGGAACAAATGACCCTGCTAAATGCTAGATGGGAGGCACTTAGGGTGGATAGTATGGACAGACAGTCCCGGTGAGTGGAAGCAAAGAAACTAACACTTTATCCCATCGGCTGCATTGCTCAGTTTAGCTCGGTTAAAGCCTGCATGTCTGCGAAGACAAGATAATTTCAGAACTTGCCTTGTAAAAGTTGCACTTTTCTTTTTGTAACGTTGCTTGGATTTTGTGTGATGTTTGTTTCCTCTTCGATGTGTTAACCGAATGAGAAGGTAACGATTGGGAATACAGAAATGAGCAAAAAAGGAGAAGACATTTCATATGGACAGTTATCTCTTCACGGCATTAAAATCAGCCAGCCATGAACTCTATCTGAAGACAGGACTATGTAGTATTTATCTACAATTCCATCGTGTAACATTTTTTTAGAGCAGTTTCTTTTTCCCATGGTTCATTTTATTTCATGTATTGTGTAATAAGGAGCAAGCTGCATTCCGTTGCAATTTCCGCCTATTTAATAAGCAGGAATTCCGGATTGAAGAAACAATGATTCTGATATGAATAGAGGGGGCTGTGATTTGCATCCTTTAGCTCCATTTAATTGACTCCATTTAGGAAGAAAGTAAAAGTTTTTGTGCTTGTTTCTGTATTTAAAGACTGAATGGTACTTCCAATGGTTAGACAAGACTGCCTTCCCTTGCCCCATTTCTTTGGTGCCTGGAGCATGTGTTTGGCTTTTGCAAAGGGGAAAAGGCGTGGGGCTGACGTGTGTTTGTCCCCGGCCAGGCTGCACGATGTGTTGATGGAGCTACAAAAGAAGCAGTTGCAGCAGCTGTCCGCCTGGTTAACGCTCACAGAAGAACGCATTCAAAAGATGGAAACTTGCCCCCTGGATGATGATTTAAAATCCCTACAAAAGCTGCTGGAAGATCATAAAGTAAATCTGGCTCATATTTCTTTTATACCTTATCAAATATGAAAAGACAGCACTTAGCCTTCTTGGGGGCTGATGGCTTCTGTCATTCGTGCAGAGATGGGATACTTCTTCAGTGTTCTCTTTTATTCAGTGATAGAAACACACAGGGTGTGTGGCTTTTCTAAGCCCTAAGCCAGGGATGATAGTGCAGGTAAAATTTTACATAAGTCTGTGTAGTTTTCTTCTGAAAGGACTTAGTGTTCATAAGGCTCTTAAGGGTTTTTGTTTTGGACCGCTAAGTGGCTAAGGACCCTAGTGTATTGGAATTAATGCAGGGTGTGGGGAATGAGGCAAACCCTCAGATTTATCTGGACCTAATCCTTTAACGAAAGCTGTGTTTCTTCTGTGATAGAGGAGAGTATCAGGCACCAGACAAGGAATCGAAATTTGGTAGACAATATAATCTGGTCACAAATTTAGAAGATAACTTTTCATAGTCAGGGAAAGGAAGAGTAAAAGAGCTTCTCTGCAAATTGAAGAGTTTTATTTTTCAGTGGAATAGCTGGATAACTGATAGATAAAACCTTAAGGATACATTAAACATGATTTAAGAGGCATTTGACAACTCTGTTGGTAGCATTTAAATAAATTACCTACATGCAAAAATCTAATGACCTATCGTGCTTTACCCATGCAGAAGGGAAGAGTGGAAGGTGTCCGTATATCCTGAATTGCTTTCCTGTGTAGCTAATCTGAGTGGCTTCTGACTTTTAGACCCTATTCTACTTACCTCTCACGTTATGCTTCACTAAAATGATCTGACTCTGTATTATTATTATTATTATTTTTTTTGTCTTAGGAATTCTATGTTCTTATCTTAATTACTTTTGTATTCACTCAAGCCCTGGGTTCCACTTTTTTTTTTTTTTTTTGCCGGAACTTGTATTAAGAGTGATGATATCCCATTTGCGATCTGTTATGGCACTGCATTTTTCAACCTGCTTTGGTTCATGATGATGAAATGTAAAAATGTTAAGGGGCTTATTTCATTAGTAGAACACTTAGAGTAATGATGGGAAGTTTAAACACGATGCCTCATTAAGTGTCCTTAATTACTCTTGGCAGGTGAATGGATTTTAAATAGGTAAATGTGAAGAGAGTAGAAATAATGGTGTATCTTAATTTTTTTCCCTAGCATTTGCAAAATGATCTTGAGGCTGAACAGGTGAAGGTAAATTCACTAACGCACATGGTGGTGATTGTTGATGAAAATAGTGGTGAGAGCGCCACTGCTGTTCTCGAAGATCAGTTACAGGTATGGACCCTGGAGGTGGACTATTCCCAAGGACTCTGTGGTCTGAAACCCTGATTTGGCACCCCTGTTCCTCAGGTCCTGTCTCACTGTTCATTTAGAGGAGATGCTAACCTTTAGTTTGAACTTCCCAGTTGGGTTCCCCCAGCTGTGGGTTCAATAGGGGTACTCAGGAACTTTCCTTTCTTGCTGCCCTTGGGGGGTGGATGGGCAGGGCTGCTTGTGGTCCCCAGCTTCCTCCTGCAAAATGGAAACAGCTTGAGGACTTTGTTAAAATGTGGATTCCTGGGCTCCACACAGACCTGAATCCCTGGGAGTGGGGCCAGTGGATCTGTACTTACGTGCCTGTTGAAGTTTGAGAATTTCAGCTGTGCAGGGTTAAATATCCCTGCTTCTTTGGGAGATCAATGCATGAATTTCAACAACAGTTTTGGGAATTCCAAAATAGCTGTTTTTTGCACAAGGCTATAGTGTATCTTTACAAGTCTTTAATTAGAGATTTTTTTGCTATTTTGTTTGAACAGTATTTGGATTACCCAATATGATGATGCCAAATGACTTTTCAATCACTTTCAGACTACAGTCTTATCATTTGAAATTCTTTTTCTTTTATAACATTTAAAGTTGGCCGGTGGTTCTGAGACTTTTTGGTGGAACATTACTTAGTTATTACAGTAACCTGAGAGGTAGGCATTCATGGCTTGCCTATTTAACAGTGAGGGGATGGAGATTCATGTGATGCCACTGAGATTTAAGTAGGCAATGAATTTTCATGCCAAGACTGGAGTCCTGTCTTTTGGCTCTAACTTCTCTACTTTTTGCTTTCTACAAAGCTTACTCTGTTATTAAATATTGAAATAATATAATATGAATTAAATAATTCCTTGAACATGTAAGTAATGTGGAAATTAAATGTAACATTTGTTAATCATTATTTAGAAAGTGGTAATAAAATAATGTGTTGGAAAAGTCATCATAAATAATGATTTTTAAACAACCAAATTTATTCATTTAGCATTGCTAATACTCCTAAGATTCTATTCCTGATTTTTGTGTAATATAAACAGAACAAATCAATTGAGCATTTTAAAAAATCTTACAGAAACTCAAAACAGTTTTTATAAGGTTAAATTTTTTTTTTTCCTTTTTGGTATTCCATATGAAAATTTTCTTGGCATGTAAAAGGTGGTTAATTGATGCAATGAATTTTTTTTGAAAAGATAATTACAGCCTGAAAAATTTGAAGCACAAAAAGTAGATATGTATGCTCTGTTCTGAAGGTATGTGAAAAATGTCAAATTATCATATAAAAACTACTGATACGGAAAGAGCAGGAATTTGGAGTCAAAAGTTAAAGAACAGAGGTCTAACTGTACCACTTTCTAACTATGTAATACGAAACAGTTAAATTCTTTGGAAATTAGTTTTTCTCATCTATAAATTTATAGGATTCATCTGTACTATTTTAAAGCAATTTTTATTAAAAATATTTTTTATAAATTGTTACTCTGTAGTAAAGAGCAATGGATGTCATGAATTTCTTTAAGGATCATTGTAACTATCTTTTAAGATTCTATTGACAAAGGATGGTTTCTTCCTTTACTAGAAACTTGGTGAACGCTGGACAGCAGTGTGCCGTTGGACCGAGGAACGTTGGAATAGGTTACAAGAAATCAATATGTTGTGGCAGGAATTATTAGAAGAACAGGTATGAAACTGTTAGCCATAATGGGCGTGACAGATGGTGAAAAGTAACCTATATTTAATGATGGTATTATGATAAACTTGTTTACTTTCCTTTGAAAGGAAAATGCACAATGTTTATTATTTTCAAAATCAGATTTCTGTGCATTTTATAACCGATCAAGTAGCTTATTCATAGAAATCATATTATATGGCTTCATGGTAGTAACACTTAATTTGATGTGTTCATTATGTTAGTATGTAGACATTCTACTTTCATGATTATGATTTCTTATTGTATTTGTGTTGGATATTGTGTTTGAACTTGTATCAACATAGTAGTGCCTAGCACATTTAGCTCAGTAAATAATTCATAAATGAATCCACTCAATGCTTTGTGAATTTTAAATCACAGTTTTTCTTGATTTTTAACCAAGATAAACTACTGAAATTAACAGGAAAATATTATTTAACAACACCAGCATTTAATACTGGGTTAATACTATATTTTTTCCAATAAGAATTACTATGGCAAATGAACTTTTGGCTCTGATAAATAAAAAGCTGCCACTGAAGTTTTCAGTCAGAAGTGTGGCCCTTTGCCCACCCTCCATCCTTCCAGAAGAGAAACCATCAAAACAGAATACAAATAAGCAAAACTTTTCTCCCAGAATGTCAGACATTGTGGTTTTAGAAAATAAGCAGATACTTTATTCCCACATTTCAGTGTCCATTTAGATTCTTTTAAATGCATTTCATTTCCATACACAAAAAGCGAGTATATTCTTTTTAAGGGATAAAAACAAGTGTGTGATGTTTTGTGGTTTACTAAATATGGTGGCAGAGAGAACATCTTAAAAAGTAGGTTGCAAAAAAAAAAAAAAAAAAAAAGTAGGTTGCAAAATTTTCTCAGTATAAATTGTTAATCGCTACCTCCTGCCCCCAGTCTCTGGCCAGAATTTTCTTATTAAGAATCCTTTGATGGATCTTATTCTGACTTCTGACATATTTTCGTTTCACTATATAAATGTTTATGTTTACTTGAAGCCTTGTATTCGGGCTGAAGAGTCACAGAGAATAATTAAATTTCACTTCAGTAATGACAGTAGGACGCATTGATGGCTAGAGAAAACCATTGTGTTCCTCTTATACTAAGTAAAATAATTGAAAATTTAGAAATACTTTTTAATTTGGTAATAAAAAATGTTAAAAATAGGGAATGACTAGTAGTTTGGCCATCTGTATTTAGATTTAAAACTAACCTCTGAGTGGCTTTCTGCTAGTGTTAGGGATGGGAGAATCTTGTTAAGATGTAGAATTGGAACCAACGTTGGTACTTAATATACAGATAATTTGCTTTTGCAAATTAAATAAGACTAAATTAAATGAGACTAAATAAATTAAATGAGACTAAACTGAATCGGAGTTAAAAAATCTCTCAAGAAACTATCTTTTACTCGGTTGTAGAGGCTTTACAACAGTTAGAAATGGGCTCGAGAATTAGTTCCATACTTATGCAGGACAGGCCAAGTGTAAGTGTGGCATGCAGGATATTCTATAAAGAACTTCAACCTACCTTTCCAACTTCAATTTTCCCTCCATCCTTCCATGTCCCCAGGTTCAAACCCTGATTTCCCAGTTTGTAGCCCATTCTTAGACTGTCAGTGCCATGAGAGTAGTGCTGGTTCTTTTTCACTGTTCTTTTCCCAATGCACGGCACATTGTAGCTTCCTCGTGGTTTGCATTGTTTTGTTTTCGTGTTTTTGAAAGAGTGAATGTATTCTGTTTGTTTTCTAGCCTCTCTGTTTTCACTTAAGGGGTGGTATCTGTTAGGGAATGTCTTTTTACCAGTTTTTTCATTTTTGAGCTGTCCTCTTCCTCAAGGAATGAAGTCGTCTATAAACTACCTCTCCCTCCCCCACTATCCTAAAACTAGAAGTCATCTCTTCTTCTTTGGAACTGTGTGACATTTAGTGTGTGTGTGTGTGTGTGTGTGTGTGTGTGTGTGTGTGTGTGTGTGTGTGTATGTGTGTGTGTGTGTGTGTGTGTGTGTGTGTGTATTTAATTCCCAAATTAAAATATAGTGCAGACACCATTATATAATATTTTATATTACATAAATATTATATATTAGAAATATAAAATAAGATATATATATATATTAATATCTTCACTTTCTTTTGCCATAGTTACTTATGTGCATATCTTACCCCTTTACTATATTGAGGACAGGATCCCTGTTTGCCATTTAATTTCCTAATGTTCATTTTTTTTTTTTTTGTGGAATATAGAGGAAAATAAATAAAATAGTTGGAGAAAGAATTGATTCTACTACTAACACAGAACCAAGATTTTTTCCTCCAACTATATAGAAAAGAGCTTCTGCTACAGATAACTGTATTGTGGGAAGAATTATCCCAAAGCAGCCGTGTGGTTTTCCATCCCTCTTTCAAGTTTCTCTTTCTGCATTACTGAACATCTTCTTCATGTTGGCCAATGCAGTTTAAATGTCCTTATGTTGGCTTTGGACTATCCTTAAACTTTCTTCTAATCACAATTGCTGTTGAACCTGGAGCATTACTGTGATTTTCCTGAATGATGCTGTGGAAAAACCATTGGCTTTGGGGTGTGGGTCTTTGATCTGTTTCTCTCATTAACTAACCAAGTAATCTTAGACATATAATGGCTTATCTCTCTCTCCTCCCTAAAATGCTGTGCTGGGTAAGGACAATTCCTAAGTTTTCTCCTGCCTCTTGAGAGTTATAATGTGATTCCTTTGGAGATTTGGATAGTAATTGGATTTTAGCCTTTTAGATCCACCTACCTCCCTGAGAATTAGATTTAATTACCCAGGTGTGGGGGCTAATGTCAGATTGATCTGTTGCAAATATGAGAAGGATAATATCTTAAAGAAAGATGTATTTCTAGGCCATGCATGTTTCGAGATTGGGTGTTTGAAGTCCTTCCTACCCTAGGTGAGAGTGAAGCCTCAACTAGCATGAAAGTTAAAGACTAGGGAACTCTATTGAATTGAATAACTGAACGATTCTCCAAATATAATTCTGACTTTTGTGATTACTCGTAGTGCTTGTTGAAAGCTTGGCTAACTGAAAAAGAAGAGGCTTTAAATAAAGTCCAGACGAGCAACTTCAAAGACCCAAAGGAACTAAGTGTCAGCATTCGACGACTGGCTGTAAGTGGTGTCACTGTTACATCTGTCTTGTAAGCCTGTGACATTTTAGTGTTTTCTGTCATTGGTTAACGTGGTTTAGTGAATACAGGTCATGGATCCTTATGCAGCGCTAGAACACTGCCATGTGATGATCCAGAACCAGGAATCTTAGATTTTAACATTAGTGAACTGCATAGCAAGTAAATTTTACTATAAAATTACATTTTATAGTAAAATTTACTTGCTATGCAGTTCCTGATGAGGGGGCAGAAATTTGCATTTCCTGATGAGGGGGCAGAAATACAGAGTCCTTTTAAGAGGGAGTCTTCTAATAAATATTTGAAATGCTAGATTTTGAAGGAAGACATGGAAATGAAACGTCAGGCATTGGATCAGCTAAGTGAGATTGGCCAGGATGTGGGTCAATTACTTGATAATCCCAAGGCATCCAAGAAGATCAACAGTGACTCGGAGGAACTAACTCAGAGATGGGATTCTTTGGTTCAGAGACTAGAAGATTCCTCCAACCAGGTACCTTTTGCTTTGGTTTGTATATTGTGCCATGAAGTAGAAATTAAATGTTCAGTTTAGTTTTAGTTTTTATGAAATAAAAGAATAGTAGATAAACTGCAAACTAAAGTAGATTCCTTACACCTGGCTTACTATAAAATTGAGAAATTCACTTGTGAGAAATCTTTAGTTTTCTGAAGTAAATTTTAATAGATCTTCAGAAAGTCTAATATCCGGTAAGTTAACTCTTAGTAAACTGATCATGCTTAGACATGAATCCATTAAATCATCTTTAAATCTTAATCTTATTAATTTAAAAATATATATTAGTGATTTGATAAAAAATACAACTTTGGTTGGTACATGGATATTCATAGCCTTATTGTTTATAATATCACAGAAGTGCATCAGCCTCATGTCCCATCCATAGAAGGATGGATAAACGAAGGTGGTATATCCATGCGATGGAATATTATTTGAGGGTTAAAAACATGAAGTACTGACACATGCTACAGTGTGAATGAACCTTGAAAATATTATGCAAGGGACGCTTGGGTGGCTCAGTTGGTTAAGTGTCTGCCTTTGGCTTAGGTCATGATCCCAGGTCATGATCCCAGGGTCCCGCATCGGGCTCCTTGCTCAGTGGGAAGCCTGCTTCTCCCTCTGCCTTCTGTTCCCCCTCCTTGTGCTCATTCTCTCTGGCAAATAAATAAATAAAATGTTAGAAAGAAAATATTATGCTAACCACAAGAAGCTGGTCGCAAGACTGAATGCACTATAATTCTCTCTATGTAAAACACCCCAAATAGGCAAATCCATAGAGATAATAAAAGAGGTTAGTCGTCAGCAGGTCCTGGGGGGGAGAGGTGGATGGGCAGGGGTGGACTATTAATGGGTATGGAGTTTCTTTTGGGGGAAATGATGAAACTATTCCGCAGTGAGAAGGTGGGGAATGGTCGCACAATTCTGAACATATGGTAACCACTGAACGGTGTACTGTTGAAGGGAGAATGGGATGGCACGTGAATTACAGTTCAGTAAAGCTGTGACAAAACAATAAAACGTCTGGCTGATTTATCCTTCAGGTGACTCAGGCTGTGGCAAAACTGGGGATGTCCCAGATTCCTCAGAAGGATCTTTTGGAGACCGTCCGCGTAAGAGAACAAGTAACTACAAAAAGATCTAAGCAAGAACTGCCGCCGCCCCCTCCCCCAAAGAAGAGACAGACTCCTGTGGATGTCGAAGCTAAGAAAAAGTGAGAAGGGATAGAGACATTTTCCAAATGCACTACGGCACATCATGTATCTGTACTAATCACTAATCCTATGCAAATTTATATGTAATTATTATTATGGAAATTCATTTGCTGAACCCCTCACTACCCCTGAGGCTTCTGAGTGTTCTCCTCCACGCTGGCTAAGCATCTGAATGTCTCAGGTGATCGTATTTATCCTGTGTTCAGTCTGGAAAACTGTGTGACAGAACCTTTGCTTCTTCATTTCCCGTGTCTACCTTGGGAGGCTAGGAATGCCCGTGATTGCCTGTTCCTTCTTTCTTTCACTGTGAGAACCCTGGCGGTTTTGCTATAGAAAGATCTCCTTATTCTTTGTACCTCCCTTCCCTCCTCTTGCCAAAAAATACTAAATGCAGGGAAGTCATTCCTTTGTAGTCTCCTTTTTTTCCCCTCATTCTTTTTTTTCCACATTTTCCTCCTTTTTCAATTCTTTTGTCAGATTCATGAACACATTCTTTAGGCTTGGCTTAAAGATCTGTCTTTGACATAAAATGTCTTTTTTTTTTTTTTTTTTTTTTTGGTCTTATTGATTCAGAGGAAACTCAGGCTCTTTAGAAAAGGACTAATCCCATCTGATAGAAATTGAGCATCTATATGGCAGCTATGCTGTGGAGCTGGGCTGTGTGACACCCCAGTAACAGACCTCACCTGCCCCAGAGCAGCCGAGCTGTAAATCAGCCCTTCTAGTCTCTCCCTTCTACGGGAGAATCCCGGTGCTGGGATAAATGGGCAATTATTTGGGGCCTGAATAAAAATGATATGATTTCCCCAATGTAGCTTCTGTTAGATGAAGCGGGATTCCAATTTTACTGGATGCTTTTCATTTTGATAATAAGGCTGTGTTTCTGCCTCCTACCAGCCTCTCCCTGCTGGCTGGAGGACCCCCAAGGTTCAGGCTGCAGCTGCGGACACTTTACTTGTTGAGGTCGAGGCAGCACAGGAAGAAGAGGCTCCTGATGTGAATATTGCCACAGGTCTTTTCTTCCCCGAGTGTTTATTTTCTGCCCAGTAGATCTGGCCCTGTGTCTCTCCGTTGCTGACTTGGTGCATTTGGAAGCAGGGAACGTTGTAAAAGACTAAGGGTGCAGAGCTATAAAATCTCACACATGGGCCTGTTGTAGAGAGTGCCTTCTGCTGCAGGCAACAGAATCCTGTACCAGAGGTGACCTCAACAATGAGGTCATCGATTCTCTCACATCAATTCTCTTATAGGAGGTCCAGAGACAGGGCATTTGGATGGGATGGTGGGGCTCAGCCTCCTACCATAGGGCCTTTCCGAGGATGTTGCCTTTCACCATCATGCATGTCCTCTGGTGCTCCCAAGAAGCTGCTAGAGCATTGGGAAGAGCATCCTTGTAGAACCTGATATATATGTAGGAAGGGCAGTTTTTCCTTATTTGACTTTTTTTTTTTTTTTTTTTTTCCCCAATCAGGGAGAAAGATCTTGCTTAGAAGGCATTGGTTAACTTTCCCCGCTGTCTCAATGGCCAGGATTCAGTCACTTACCCCCAGGTTGGGTGCACGGGAGGCTGAGACTGTCTGGCTTCTTTGGTCTCTGTATTTTCGTTCTGGGGGAGTTGGACCACAGAGGGAAGTTGGGGAGGGGAGTGTCTGTTGGTTGGGCAACCAACTGTGAGTACCATAGTCTTCCAGTCCATGATTTGATTGATGCAGTTAATTCCTGGACAAATAGAAGCTTTTGTATGTCCAGTTCATTGTGATCGAGGGCAGTGAGATCTCATTATTAGGTTATTTTTACGGGGAGCCCAAGTCCCTCCCCTTCACGACTACCCATGAGTGCTAATTCTGCTTTCTGGGGCGATACAGAGTCCCACCAGCTCTCTTCAGTATGGTGCCTCGTCAGTATGGGAGGGGGTTTCATATTCCCATTTCTGTGGGCCTTCAGAGTAAAGTCTCCTTAACCATCGTAAGTGTGACATGCTTTCTAGACCCTTTAATGCCGTCAGTCTCCGGTAGAAATCACTATTAGCTTGTCTTAAAATGGGCTGTCAGAGCAGATGTGAGCTCAGTACAATTTATAAAACCTGCTTCAGAAATGGCAGTTTACTTCCCCCTGCTCTTCTCTTGGTGCTGCTGGTGACTGTTTTTATCAGCTCAAGCTATGGAGGGACAATTCTTTCCTATGATGGGGATCTCTGTTAACATGACCTGAGACCATTGCCTCTCTGTAAAAACCAAATAGTCATAATTCACCAGAAACGCTTGAAGGTCTTTCCCCAAAAGAATCAGACAACCTGTGCTCACCTTAAAGTTCCTAAAAATCCTCAGGAGTTTTTTTGAGGAGTCCTGTGGGTAGAGTCCTGGTGAGGAGGACCCACCGAGCTCTACCAGCTATAGCTTTGGAGCCTGGGGCCATTATTTAAAACCTCCATGAGCTCCATTTCTCTGGCATTAAAAGGGATAATAATAGTCTAGGCATCTCAGGGTTGTTGTGACGATTACTTGAATTAAACATAGACACAGAACACTTAGCAAAGGGCCCAGTATGTGGCCAGCAATCAGGGAGTGCTCCCCTTTTGCCTCTGCTCGTGGTGGTTTCCACAGGCCTTTTCGAGTTTGTCCCCTTTTTCCTTCCATCCTCACGTCTCTGTTCTGGGTCCTGGGACTACCACAGCCTGCTTTCCTCTGGTGTTGTCTCTCTTTATTTTTTCTGTGCAGTGAGCTCTAGAGGATGAACACAGTCATGCCAGTCCTGTGTTTTCAAGCCTTCACCTGCTCTGTGTTGCCCTTTGGTTGTGCCCAGACTCCTTAATCTGTCTTGCAGAGCCTTCCAGGAGTGGGTTGGTGTGGCTCTCTGCCATGCTGGCAGTGGTCCTTGCCTGTCTAGGGCTCACTGTTCCAGCCACGCCTAGCTGCTTGCTGTTCTCAGTGTGGTCCTCTTTCTCTTTGTTCTCCCTTTGCAAGGAAAACTCCTGGGCATAGTACCGCTGTTGTGCTCCAGGAAGCCATCCCTCCCTGACTGAATTAGGAGCCATTACGGTGAATTCCTGGCATTAGCACCTGGCGAGTTCTCTTGTGATTTACTTTCCATTGCCCCGACGAGACAGGAAACACCATGAAGGCTGGGATTGTGTCTGAGTTACCTTCATATCAAGAGGCCAGTCCAGTGCCTAGCATACACTGAACTCAGTAATTATGTGCAATGAAAGGAGACATTAGCTTTAAGAATATCTGTACCTGCTTTTTCCTTTTATTTTCCAATCAAATCTTTTCCATTATCCAAGGGAGTTTATAAAAATGCAAATGATTTCTTACAAAGTTTAAAGTTATTCAGTTACTTAAAAACTATTTATTAACGTGACAATATTATCCCTCTTTTCAAACTTTTAATGTAAATGTGTGATTTTACTTTGCCTGGTTACTCTATGTCTATGATGCTTTTTTTTTTTTTTTTTGGGAGGCATATTTAGAACATGTGCCTGGTGGGTGTTTTGATGGCTCTGTTTCTTGAGCCAAGTGAAACAATAGAAGAATAGGAATGACAAACAGTAACATCTGAATCTTAAATCAGGTTTGATGCTGTAAGTGCAGAGCTGTTGAACTGCATTGTGAAATCAAAGACTGGCATTCAGGCTGCAGAGATGAAAGGGTATAAGAAGATGCAAGAGACTTCAGAAATGAAAAAGAAGTTGAAGGTAAAACATAAAACAAAAATATCCTTGTGAATAAAATATTTCACTGAGGGTTTGATTTACTGTTGACATAAAGGTGTGATGGGATCCAAAGGCTTTCTGTAAAATAAATGTAGCTGTAAGGTAGCTTTTAGAACATTGTAGTAAATTGTGAATCAATCAAGCTGGCTGGCAATCAGATCCCTGTGTGGAGGGAGGGATTTTTTTGCCCCTTACCCCTAACTTCCGAGATGTGCAGGACGGAATGGTTCTAAGGTGTGATCCAGTTATTAGTAGTATTATTTTTTACCTTGATTAGGTCTCCCTTAATCTAGTCCCTAATAATGTCTATGACTTTGTGTATGCTGAAGATATTTTGCACTCTGAATACAACAAATGATTTCAAATCTCAAAATCCCTTCAATATACCTTCTTTAGGAAAGAGACTTATTTAAAAAAAATAAACTCTGTGAAAATGTATAGGATCTTAACTCTGCTACTTTGTACCTCATGCGTGTTACTGTAAATTGTGACAAGAGATTGTAGTGACTTAAGTCTTTGGTGTTCATTAGGTGTGGGTGCATCCTTTCACAAAATATTTGGATACCTGGAGCAAGTGTGTACGTAGTCCTGTCTACGTCGGTGACCAAGTTTGTGAAGGGTTTGGAGAACATTTCCAAAATGAGATGTGTGTAAATATCAGGGATGTGAGCCAGAAAGCGGTGTTCCCATGGGGGCTGAGAGGAGCCCAGGACTGTGGTGGTCTCTGTGTTCACTGGGGAAGTCCAGAGGGTGAGGTAGCCCCACACTGGGACCAGAAGGCCCTTGCTTGGAGCTGGGTAGGAAGGCCCAGCCGGCAGGGGTGCCCTGAGCAGAGGCATGGAAGTGGACACCTGGATTGTGCTAGTTTTTGTTGTTGTTCTGTTTAGTGTTGTTCTGTTTGTGTGTGTAAGATAGTAGAGAGTTCAGGTTGGAGAGGTGGTTTGGAGTCAGACCCCGGTCGACTTACGTGTGGGTGAGAAGTTCCAACCGACTCCTGTCCTTTCCTTGCATTGTCAGTGCTTTTATTTAGAGGTCTTCGTTGCCCGTTGGTTTCCAGATCTAAAGGATGGATTTGTTTGCTCCTCCGACCTGCTGCCTCTACAGCATTTGCCACTGTTCACCCTTCCTTTCTTCTTATACTCTCACAGCCCTTGGCTTCTGTGGCCAGTGATGCTTCTAAAATAATCTGATCAGGTGGCTTCCATGGTGGCAGCTAACTAATGGCTTCCCACTGCGACGGGGATGAAATCCACATGGCCCTGACGTGCGCCTGGAGCTTCAGCCCTCCCGAATCCTGCTCTTTGCTCACTTCCCTGCCTTCACCACACGTGCTGTTTTCCATGCTAAGAATGGCCCTTATTAAGCCTTTGTGCTGTGTGGCTGAAAAGCCCTCCACTCCAGCCAGTAAGCCTCTTTTAGCCTCATTAGGAAGATTTAAGTGGTTCATCTTTGGACTTCCATGTTGCTTTGACCACACCTCTGTGAAAGCCCTTATTACATTTATGTCATTATTTGTTTCTATGCCTGCCTGTGAGTGCTTGGAAGAAGTGAGGATAATTTCCCATTGAACCCTCTATTTTCAGCACTCAGCAAAGTTCTTGGCTGATGGAAGGAGGGAATGATGGCTGTGGAAAGGGGGATGTGGGAGGCTGTTAGCCTAGAAGCACCATTATCTGAGCCCTCTGTATGGGGAAGAGCTGTGTTGCATCATTTCGTAGGCTTCTCACAGTGCTGAAAAACCAATAAATGAGATTAATGAGCATTTAACAGCCGGATTCTCAAAGGCAGAGAATGTGGAAATTACAGTGATCTTTATGGAACAAGTTCCAGAAAATATTAATAAGTTAAATTCCATCCTGTGACGTAGAAACAGTTTTACTCCTAGATTTTTTTTACTATAATATTTGAAGGGATAAGAATAAGGACTGTGTTTTTTAGTGTGAGGCATGATTGGAAGTTCCCATGTTTTCCTTTAATATTTATAAGTTCACTTATTTTGTTGTTTTCGACAACTAGTGATAGATGCCGAGAGGGTTGGAAAAATGTAAAATGAAGAAAAGTTAACCATCACTTTAATCTCTAATTTTTCTCGCAAATTGGGGAAAGAGCAGCTTAATTGTGTGTTAGTAAAGGACTACCTTGTTCCAACTGATGCCACACCTGGTTGGAGAATCCCCGCATTCAGTCTGTCATCACCACAAATCAGTTTGCATAGAACAGGCAATAACTCTTCTCTAGTTTGGTGACTTTTTGCATTGATACTTAGTTTAACGAAACAAGTGGTGTTTCTTTGAATCTCTTGTTATTTCTTCATCTTTGACTATAAAATAGTCACCTTAAAGTTATACAGATCAAAGTAGGATAGTTTATTGGATAGTGCTTATATGTACGGAAGTTAGAAGTGGGATTCTTCTCTGGGTTGTCCGGTTGAAATGATATGGTTGTCTTAGAAGTTTTGATTGTGCTCTTAAGGGTGCTGTTTGCGTAGTTAATTTGATCAGGAGTGAATTGAGGAGTGGGAGAAATTTCAAATACTGACTGTTAATGTGTACACGTGTGTGTATGTCTTCATGATTTTGTTCAACCCTTCTTACTAGTTCTGGAAAGCTTTTGTCTTTCTTGTCTTTGAGATATTAAGGACATTGAGACTATCAAACCATAGAGACATAAATATTAAAATTAAGAGCCACTCTTCAAACTTGAGGAACAAAATGCTTTAGTTTGGGTCCCAAAGCATATTATCATAGTTTAAAATTATGTATGAACTATGCTTGTGGTTGAAGTTTACATTAGATCCTAAACTTAATATAATACCAACAAATAATATCGAGGCTCAAATGTTTCTATTTTTCTTGTTAATTAATTTTTGCCCAGTGATCTCTGTCATAGAATATTCAGCTCATTTCACTTGAACAGTTATTTTTATTGTGTGGCATAAACACTGAGGTTATATATAAAATAGATATCCTGGATCTAAAACACTAATTTTAATTGTTTCCTCCTTTTTTAATTAATTGTTTCCTCTTGATAGGAACTCACAATTGTACAATTTTTTTCTTTTTAAAAGTAATCAAAGTTTTTTTTTTTAAGTAATCAAAGTTTTATGTTATTTGTTTAAATTTGCCTTTTGAAATTTAATCAGCTTTGGAATTCTGTAGGGTAGCTTGGAATTGCATAGTTTTGTCTTGCAGTATTTCTCCTATGTCAACTTTGACTATAATACCGAAAGAGAATGTGGGAGGGACACAAACCCTGAAACTTACAATAATGTGAACATTTCATTCATTGAGAAGAAAGTTTGCGGTATTCTTACATTGGAATTTTATTTCCAGGGATTGGAAAAAGAACAGACGGAAAGAAGCCCCAGACTGGATGAATTAAACCAAACAGGACAAATCCTTTTGGAGCAAATGGGGAAAGGTGAGACCCTTGATTTTTTTTTTTTTAAATGTGTTTTAGATGGTAGCATTGAATAATTACAGTTTGACAAATTATATATTTATTTTGCACCATAACCTTTCTTCCTTTTTTTCCCCCTAAAAAAGTGGTTTTCGAAATTGTTTTAGGTAACAGAATCTTTTTTCAAATTAAATCCTATGTGCTGAAGCTGTTCTATAAAACAGATAAAAGAGAAGTTGTTGTGCTTTTATACAGAGTTAGACAACCTAAAACTCTGATAGCTTAGCAGAGCAGTTGAAGATTGCTGTGGAAGATTTTAAAATTTCCTTCTTTAGGTTTATATATTGGGAATTTGTTTTGAAGAGGGGTGGCAACAGAAAATTTTACTTTTGTGATATTTGGGAAATGAAGTTACATTAAGGTAAATTCATTAAGGTTATTAGACTTTTGATCACTTCCAAATTAATATGTTAATTTACTCCAGGTATCTTTTTATACTTGAATTTGATAAGGTGTTACTTGTATTTGAAATTTTTACCTGTATTTAAGGACTTTTTTTCCTTTGCCATTAGCCCTCAGTGACTCAGGGGAATGGAAAGATGAATATTTTTGCTGTCAGTTTTGCATATGATACTTTCTTTGGTCTAGCTCTGAAAGACCTTTCTTGTGAGTCCTATGCCTTACTCCAGTGATGGTAAATGCTTTGGAGGTCTTCTGCAATATTCTTTGACATAAGCCACAGATATCCAAGGCAGAATTAGGAATATTAGTTTGACAAGAATCTTTAGTGAGTGATTTTCAGTCTTTCTATTTTTTAACTTTTTGTTCTGGAAAATATAAATAATGTACGACATAAACAGAATAGTGTAATGAAACTCCTTGTAGCAATTACCCAGCTTCAGTAATTAATGATATTCTGCCATTCTTGAATTATCTATACCTCTACGTATTCCTCACCCCCTTGTTATTATTATTATTATTGTTTATAGTTTTTTAAACAGCAAAATTTACAGGGAACCTGGGTGGCTCAGTCATTTAAATGTCTGACTCTTGATTTCAGCTCAGGTCATAACCTCAGGATTGAGCCCTGCATTGGGCTCCTAGCTCAACAGGGAGTCTGCTTGTCCCTCTCCTCCTGCCCCCTGTCCCCGCCACTCATGTGCCTCCCCTCTCTAAAATGAATAATTAAATCTTTTTAAAAAGAGAAAGTAAAATTTACTTACATTGAAATACATGGAACTTAATTGTGCTGTTTTGACAAGCCCATACCCACATAACAGTATATAGAAAAATGTATATAGAAAAATTCCATCTCTCCAGAAAGTTCCCTGGTATCCCTTATGGTTCAGTCATCCTCTCCCTAAAATCACATTTTTAAAAACTTTCGATTATTTTTACCTCTGCTTTTAAAAAATTTGTAAATAAATTATGCATACACACACACACACACACACACACACAAACTATGGCACACACATACATTTTTACACAAAATAAGGGTGTGTCCATATATGTCCATTTATTTGGAAATTATTCAGATATACCACTATCAATCCATAGATGTTAGTACAGCTCAATTTATTTCTTTTTTAAAAATATAAACAGAGGGGTTATTTATGGGTATTTTAATTCAAACATCCTCCTGGCTCAGTGTCTTAGTTACCCTGGGTGTGAGTACCCTACTTGGAAATTACTCTTTCAAAAATTTCTTTAAAGAGATCTAGAGAGGGTTGCCTCGGTGGCTCAGTGGGTTAAAGCCTCTGCTTTCAGCTCAAGTCATGATCTCAGGGTCCTGGGATCGAGCCCCGCATTGGGCTCTCTGCTCAGCAGGGGGCCTGCTTCCTCCTCTCTCTCTCTGCCTGCCTCTCTGCCTACTTGTGATCTCTGTCTGTCAAATAAATAGATGAAATCTTTAAAAAAAAAATAAAGAGATCTAGAGATACAGAGAGACCATAATTTCCCTGGAGATGCCGATTCTTTTGAGAATTACAGTAAATTGTGTGTTGAATTTATGTCAGTTACAATTGTAGATTCTTACTTGTACATCAACATTGCAGTTGGGGAACCAGCCTTTGTCTGGTGTGAATGTACTTTCACAGTACCTTCATGAATCGTTTCACAGTCCATTCATGGGTACTTTCAAGAGTCTCGGTATTGAATTTGCCCTCATTTCTGCATCAGCTTTTAGGTGGTGTGGCAGGATTTGGGTGCTAAGGCTGGTGGGGAAAGGCTACCTGGGGGAGAAGTTGGTGAGAGGCGGTGTGTTACAGTGAGAATGGGAGATGGGAGAGCTCAGGGTCTCCTACCCTCTTCTAGTTTTGTGTCCCTGGGCGAGTCATGTAATCCATTTGTGTCTTCGCTTCCTCACCCAGGAAGAGAGGCATTCACTAGCAGAGTACAGCTGTTGTTGCATGCGTTCTTACTATGAATAGGCATCTGCAAAAATTCATACTTGGGAAGCTGAGTTCACGTGAAAATGATACTTGTGAAATGCCAAGTGCAATATCGGGAAATATGGCATTCATGGCTGTGTAACGGAATGAATTTTGTGACATAATGTAGACCTGTTTGATTTTATGGGAAACCCTTTATATTTTGCATTACCATGTTTTTTTGGAGCATTGGTAGAGGAAATGCATTCATTACAGGATCCCAATTTTATTTGTTTATTTTTTAAAGATTTATTTATTTATTTTAGAGAGAGAGAAGTGGGATGGAAGGGCAGAGAGAGAGGGAGAGAGATAATTCTGAAGCAGACTCCTTGCTGAGTATGCAGCCTGACATGGGGGCTTGATCCCAGGACCCCGAGACCATGACTCAAGCTGAAATCAAGAGCTCGCTGCTTAACCCACTGAACCACCCAGACGCCCCCTAATTTTATTTATTTTAAATGACACATTTAGGGTAGGATGGGGACCTGGGCAGTGGGGGTGTTGATTTGAATAGGGTGTTTATGTTCTGGGTTTAATTTCTTGCTTTTTGAGGAGGGTCTGTGTCGCTGTTAGAGAATAAAAGTGACTTTTAAAAATCTTCCCCACTGTCTTCCCATTTTATTCATTGTTCTAATTTTATAGTATTGTATATCACTTCTCTCTGTGTGGTTTTAGTGCTGTTAATCCTACTGCTCTTATAAACCAGAAATGTTGAACAGAAATGAAAGCACAGTTGGGTGGTTCTTGCTGCTCTGCACCATACCCCCTGCCATTTCCCCTAAGAAATTTGATATAAACACTGAAACACAGATAATTAAGATAGAGGAAGTTCTTTTACAGAGTGTAATTTGTCAAGAGTCTGCCTAGGTAAGGCTGTAGATAAATGGTTCAGTCCTTTAGAAAACAAGGCCTTGGTAAAACAGATGTTCCAATAATCATATCATCGATTTCCTCAAACTAGTTCCATCAAAAGCCCTGCTACAGAGAAGTTTGATGGGACTTTTCTGCCTACTGCATTTGAATTATGTTTTGTGGTATCCTGTGAAGCATAAAAAGGTTTTAATCAATGAAATTATCTGTTTCATTCAACTTTCGTGGCTATTTGGTTTTCTTGGTTCAGCCTATCTTTTTCCTAGAGATTGTGAACTAATAAGATAGAGTAGCTGGAAACTTGGATAATATGGCTTTATGAAATGATGTTTATTATGACTAGCCTATGGAATTCGATGGTGGTCCTATGTTTTGTAAATTTCCTTTGATTCCAACAGTAATAGATTGAAAAGTGCAAAGTTAAGTGAAAGTAAGTGGCAGGAATATGTTACATTTTATTCCTTTTAGATAATTAATAAGGTGATGATCTATTGATTTGGGCTTTTGATTAGTCATTTAAGAGTTGGATGTTTTATCGAAATAGAAAATTTATAACCAGGATTTCTGGGAGCGAAACAATTAATTGAGGGGCACCTGGGTGGTTCAGTCCGTTATGCATTTGCCTTTGACTCGGGTCGTGATCCTGGGGTCCTGGGATGAGTCCGGTGCTGGGCTCCTCGCTCAGTGGAGAGCCTGCCTCCCCTCTGCCTGCCACTCCCCCTGCTTGTGGGTGAGCACTCTTCCTTTCTGACAATTAAGTAAATAAGATCTTAAAAAAAATAAAAGAATTATTTTAAAAGACAACATAATTTTCCTTGCCTGATATGCAAATTATGCTTTAATTATTACTTGATATCTGCCTAACTTACAATATCTCAAGCTTAGAGGAAGGGAGATTTAAATTTTGATAATTGGTTTGAAGAGGCAAAATGAATGAATTGTAACATATTATAGTGAATAACTACTTTTTACCTGTTTTCTAGATGAGTAGTGATAATTTTCCATCTCATAATTTTATCAGCTTTATCTTCTTTCTTGATTAGCATAAATTGCCCCGACATGCAAGTGAAGCAGCTGATGTTATTCCTTTGCCCCCTAGAATAGAAATAATGCGACAGATGCAAAGCCTAGATCCCCATTGCTCAGATGGTTTGTCAGGAAAATGATGATTTGTTTCATTTATGACCCTATTAGTAGAGATACATGAACTTGGGCTGTGGTGTGGGTGATTTGCCTGCGTCTCATATGCTATTATCTGTGTGTGATGCTGGCCAGTGAACTTCAGCACGTGAGGTGGGTGATATATTCAAATTACATCATATTATGTTTGCATTTCTAATTTTCAGTGGATGCAGTGTGCTATAGTATTTTTAAGATTGCATCGTCTGTGGATCCCAAGGACCTTTTGTTTTATAGCCGCTTTACTCCTCAGAGCTCTCATTACCCTGGATTTCGATTGTATATGTTTACAAAGCACCGTTGTTTTTCTCCCTCCTACTCAAATAAGAAAGTTGTTAAGCCCATTCTTTCGAAATGCCTGCTCTCCTAAGGGGATAAAGATTCCTTTGTAGATGTCCCATACTTTTTCAGAGTAATTTGCAATGATTTGATGTATTTTATACTCAGGGAAGGACTGCGATACAACTTATTATTACCTATCACGATTATTTCTACATTCTTTACCTCTCAAATATATGAGACAAAATTATTAGGACCTCGGTAATAAGCAAAATGCCTTTTTTTTCCCCCCCTGATGTGTTTCAGAACATCAGAATGTGGTAGATCATCTTACCCCTGCATTGATATTTTGGTATTTGCTGGTCCATGTGTGGCATGCCCAGGAGGTTTGCGGATGCCTCTTGGGGCTGGTTGCTGGCCTGATGCTTCTGCAGTCACCAGGTTGCCCCCCTATGCTAGTTCTTGCCATTCATTCTGCAATTCCTAGGATGCTGTGGTTGGGTCACCAAAGTCTCTTTGGAGCTACTTCCTCCATTGTTCAGCCAGCTGTCTTTTCTGTGATGATAGAAGGTTTACCTTCTCACGTCAGACCTTCGGACAGGTCCACAGCATTCACTGAATTTCTCTGGTCCCATCTAGAAGCTGGTGGAGGGGTAGGATACACACATTCTTTATAAAAGTCCATGGCTGCAGCTCTACTAATGCGGCTCTGGGGATAGCATGTTCTCCCGAACAGCCATTTCAAGCTCCCCCTTCCCCACTTTGGTCAGGGAATGAAACATAGTTACTCTTACCGGCATCATTATAATTTTGTTGTTGTGTTACAAGGGACTTAAGGGAGTGATCATTATATGTGACATGGCCTCATTATTTTGAATAGGTTAGAATGTTTATAACAAATTCAAAACCAGTTTTATAATAACATATGAAGCGTCTGCTTATTTTTTTATGTCTGTGTAGAGGGTATTCCTACGGAAGAAATAAAAACTGTGCTGGAGAAGGTGTTCTCAGAATGGAAGGATGTGTCTCAGCGTTTAGAAGATCTGGCAAGAAAGATTCAGCTACAGGAAGATATAAATACTTACTTTAAGCAGCTTGATGAGCTCGAAAAGACCATAAAGGCAAAAGAGGAGTGGCTAAAACAAACTTCCTCCCAGCAACCCATGCTGAGTTTGAAGGACCCCTGTCAGGTAAAGAGAGAACCATCCAGAGCATGAAAGCCTTCTATGCCCACTCCTGTACTTGAAGAAGATGCCACTTGTATTGTAAAATTTAGGTGAATTCATCTTCGGTCAGTTCCGTGACCCTGTTTTCTCTTCCGTAGCGGGAACTGATAGATCTGCTGGCCCTCCACCCCAGAATTGAAATGGCGCGTGCCAGTTGCTCCGCCCTGAAGTCTCGTCCTTCTGCTCCGGATTTTGTCCGGGAGGCATTCGAGAGCCTTCTGGGCCGCTACCAAGCTGTGCGACGGGAGTTAGAGCGTGGTCAGCAACAGCTGGAGAAGGGTAAACCCATCCTCTTGGTTTTCTTAGTTGAGGGCTCTGTTGTCTTCTCTTTCAGTTTGCTGTAACGTAAAAATCACTTGCCACATGTGGGCAAAGAACACGCTCCCTCATTCTGCCCCAGCCACATTCTGTTTTCCTCTCTACCTGCTATTGTTCAGGGTCTGAAAATATATTCAGAGTAGTTCCTGGATTCACACTTGTTTGGAAAAGTGCAGACAGCTTTCACCTGCTCTAAAATCATGTTTCTAGGAGATAATGACTTTTAAGGAGTTTTTTTTTGAAGGGTGCCTTGCCCCCCCCCAGTTACTGAAGGAGGCCAGCTAACACCCTTACTAGTAAGACTAAAAAGAATGATCGCTTACTTCTGTTTGCTCAAAATGGTTTTAGCAATACTATCTCCTCTTCGGAAAGAAGTCATGTTTCTCTCTCAAAGTCTGAAATTATTTATTTATCTGTTTGTTTGTTTATTGGGGGGAGGGGCCAAGGGAGACAGAGAGAGAGAGAATCTTAAGCAGGTTCCGTGCTGGGCTCAACGGGGTTTCGATCTCACAAGCGTGAGTGGGTGCCTAACTCACTGGTCCACCCAGAGGCCCCTCAGAGTCTGAAAAATTTTAAAGAGTTTTTACTTTTGGAATAAACCTGATTTTGGCAAGTTACCTGTTAAATGCTTTGAGAGCTCGTTTCTCATCTGTCCTATTTTTTCTCCTTAGCTATTGTGTAAGTCGGGAATTGTGTTGTACTATGTAATGTTATGGGTCATGCATGTTTAAAAGCTGTGTGTTGAACCATGTCCTTCCTTGTAGCAAATGTAGATTTTGTAATGACTTGTAGGAATCTGTATGTGTCCGTGGCAAGCAAATATGTCATGTTGTCTTTCTTCTGGAAAGGCATTTGGACACTATGCTTTTTTGTTCACTGAATTCAGTTAACCTAGAGTGTAAAATAAATGTTTCAAAGTATTGCTTTTTAAATTTACTCTTATAAAACATTCCTTCCTATAGATCCTTGTCAAAAATAAAGGCATATTTCATAACAGTAAATTGAAAAAGCAGTACACTGACCCCTCTATTTGTTACATAATACAACACAGTTCCTGACCTGAAACTAAAAGAAAGTTCTAAATCTATCTTTTTTGTCTTTAATTGTGCTAAAATATATATAACATAAAATTTATCATTTTAACCACTTTACTTATGTATTTTTTAAAGTTTTATTTATTCAAGTGATCTCTACACCCCGTGTGAGGCTCAAACTCATGACCCTGAGATCAACAGTCATGTGCTCCTCCCCCTGAGCCAGCCATGTGCCCCATAATTCAACCATTTGAAGATGTAGAGCTCAGTGGCATTAAACGTATTCACATTGTTGTGCAACCATTCTTCAGAACTTTTTCATCTTGTGAAGCTGAAACTGTCAACCCCTTAAACAGCAGCTCTTCATTTCCTCCTCCCTCCAGCCCTTGGCAACCACTGTTCTGTTCTCTGTCTGCATGCATTTGACGGTTCTAGATACCTCATACAAATAGAATCATGTAGCATTTGTTTTTTGTGCCAGGCGTATTTCACTTAGTATTACATCCTCGAAGTTCATCTGTGTGGGTAGCCTGTGTCAGAATTTTCTTCCTTTTTAAGGCTGACTAATGTTCTATTGTATGTATTATACCGCATTTTATTTCTCCATTCCTTTGTCAAGGCCCTTTGTTGGTTGTGACTAATGCTGCTAGCTTCTTAACTTCTGCTGCTAGTTTGTTTCACATCTTTGTACCCCACATGAGTTTACTTCCTTTCCACACAAGTGTTGCTTGTCCGTGATTTTTACCTTGGTGACTGAAATAGACATCACTCCAGCTGGCTTTTGCAGTCAGGACCTCTCCGAGGACCTGTGGTAGCCCGGCTGTGGCGTTCTGTTTAACACCCAGCGCTCTGTAGATGGCGGTTTGTCTACCCGTTCAAGCTCAGAGGAAGATGGGTGGAGGGGATCTTGATGTTCTTTTATTCTTTGTGTAGTTACTGGGGGAAAGGAGATTAGATGAGACAAAAGAAACACTGTAGTACCATCTTTAGAGAGACATTTCATCATGACCAAATGAAGAAAAAATGATAGTGAGTTAGCTAATACTTCAAACATCAACATCCGCAGGAATGAAGTCACTGTCTGACTCTCTGAAATGCCAATGGGATGATTTATCTTAGCAGCTAACAGAGACCCTTTTAAATTTTAATTATGGAGTTTAACTTATTAGGTATTAGGATTCACTTATATAGAGAAGATTAACAGCAAATATATAATAATATTAGGTTCCTAACACTATTTTCTAAAAGTAAGTATTTTTAAATAAACAGAACTGAAGAGCCAACCTGGACATGCATATTTGGAAACATTGAGAACACTGAAAGATACACTGAATGATTCTGAAAGTAAGGCCCAGACATCTTTGAATGCCTTGAATGATCTTACAAAGGTGGAGAAGGCCCTGCAGGAAAAAAAGGTAACACATATTTTAGGTCTTAGAAGTGTAGGGTCATTTTTAATACCTCTTATCACTTATTTTGAAATATTTTTTCAGCTATTTAAAAAAATATTAGTCATTTTTCAGTCAGAATTGGTCAAAAGTTCCTTATAATTTGAAGGTTAGTTACTAAAATGTAGTACCTTAGCTAAAAGAAGAGATACTTATTGAATATTACTAATAGAATAAAAGCATATTTTCTCTTTCTATTGTGCTTAGTCTAGAACTTTCAGCCTGCTCATAATCTGTTCAAATATCTTTAATAAAATGAATATCACTGAATTGATGTGTTCTTTTTTCTGCGTTGAATAAAAATGCTTCTCTAGTTATTTAGGACACATGACTTTGTATTATTTCATCAGATAAAACAGATCAACCATTGATCACTGCACACTTGGTCCTCACTGAGTGTATTGTTTTACTGGATTTTAGTGTGGAGAATATATTATTTCTGGCCCACACACAATTCATGAAGGGAAAGCTTTAACTTTTTTTGGTTATACTTATTTTTTTTTTTCATGACTTGTGTACAGTTCTTTTTTAATTGTATATGTTATAAAAAGTGACCTTAGGCTATTTATAGCCCATATTACTACATCTGTACAAATTATTGTGCGTATTTTTAATCTTTTAAACATTTTTTCCAGGCCCTTGATGAAATCCTTGAGAATCAAAAACCTACATTATATAAACTTGCAGAAGAAACAAAGGCTTTGGAGAAAAATGTTTCTCCAGATGTAGAAAAAATGTATAAGCAAGAATTTGATGATGTTCAGGGAAAGTGGAACAAACTAAAGGTCAAGGTTTCCAAAGATGTGCATTTACTTGAAGAAATTACCTCCAAACTCAGAGCTTTTGAGGTAAATCCCAAGGCTAATGGCATTTAAATTTATTAGAGAACAAAGTAGTAATTTATCAAGTAAGACTCTAGTATCTGTTATATGGATATTTTATATTTTTTCATGTCCTAGATTTATTATGTATATAAGTTGGGATTCCCAACTTGCTTTTGATGTGGTGGAGAACACGCTCATTTGCTTTTGCTTTGCAAAAGGGCTTCTTTGCAGAGGTGAACTGGATCTTGAAGATAAGAGAAAATTCCTTAAAACTGGTCAAAGTAACATCTCGGGGTTGAGGAGCCTGCATGATATTCAGACTAGTGATTAGGTCACAGGGCAACTTTGTTAGCATGGTAAAATTGCCCCAGTCGTGGCAGACAGCTGAGTCCTTGATGCTGGTTTTTGTAGACTTTAGACATTTGGAGGTAAAAATCTGAACCAGACCGTTGATAAGGAACGTCAAACTGGGAAAACAGGTAATTTGAAGGACATGAAAACCAGAAGTAGGATCCTTTGCTACATCTGAAAATGTCCACAGATGAAGCAGTGATAAAGTTCCAGAGGAAAGGACAAATGTTAGGACATAAGGAGAAGGTGATAAAAGTCAATTTCAGATAAGACAGGATTTTAACATTTTACCTGTGAGGAAGATGGAGAAGCGTTCTCCACCAAATCACCTGGTTTTCTACTAGAAAAGGTCAGGATGAAGAATGAATCAATGATACTCTCCTCTCTGTCTTCCCTGGTCTCCTTACTTTGGTCTTTTGTGTTGTGGGGTGTTTCCCCACTGTTGTATCTCACAATGGACTTCTGGTATCATGCCTGGTACAGAGAAGGCACTCAAGAAATATTTTTCAATGAATGAAATGAAATTAGTAATAGAAGATTTAAATCTATCTCTCTCTCTCTCTCTATATATATACATATATATAGGTATATATGTATATATATATATATATAATATATCCAACCTTTACATATTTTTTTAAAGAAAAAATAATATCTATTTGCAATATAAACAAAGTCCTGTTGTTGGTTTGGGATACACGTGTGTGTGTGTATGTAGGGTCACAGATTTTCCTTCATAAGGTCATAAAGCAAAACTGGACACCCTGTTTGTGTACTCTCACGTACACAAATCTGATGCATCTTTCTGGGTTTTTTTTTTTGTTTTTGTTTTTTTTTTTAAAGATTTTATTTGTTTATTTGACAGAGAGAGATCACAAGTAGACAGAGAGGCAGGCAGAGAGAGAGAGAGAGGGAGGCAGGCTGAGAGCCCGATGCGGGACTCGATCCCAGGACCCTGAGATCATGACCTGAGCCGAAGGCAGCGGCTTAACCCACTGAGCCACCCAGGCGCCCTGGGGTTTTCTTTTTAAAAGTAAAAAAAAAGAACCATGTACAGCATGGAAGCAAATATATATATAATTTGGATTTAGATTCTAAGAAAGTATATATAGGAGACTATTTATATATTTATAAAATATATGTATTTCATATATATGTGAGAATTTCTATAAAGGATATTAAAAAAAAGTGAAAAGATTGAAAATGAAAACAAAGTTCCTGAAAATGCTGTTTCAAAAATCAAAACCAGGGAACTTATGGTAGAAGAGGGATGGGTAGACCATACAGATCAGTGTGGTGATCTGGATATCTCTCCAGAAAGATGAGAGGAGTGTGGTGACCACTGACCTTGGAGGGAAGCTCTGTGCCCCAGTGGATAGCTCCAATGAATGGCTAGGAGAATAAAGATGGTGAGGTTTCTGTGTGTGTGTGTGTGTGTGGTGGTAGTGGGAGAACTTTGGTTTTTCTAAGTGCAAACTACAGTTCTATACCAAAACTGAGATCTTAGAATAAAGCATTAATTTAGAAGAGGGGTGTGTTATGTGCAGCTTAGTGTTTTTGAATCATTTACCTTTGTGAGTGGATCCACATCCCCTTCTATGTTTTCAGCTGGAGTTCTAACCAACTTTAAAAACCAGAATTACCCTTATTCATGAATGTAAAATTTGTGGTTATGGTCCAAGCATTGTGTTATCTGTGGCTCTCAACCGGGGATGATTTTGTTCCTGCCCCCAGGACATTTGTTAGTGTTTGGAGAAATTTTTTTGGTTGTCATAACTGGATGGGAGGGGGTGTGGTGTTTGCTTCCAGTGGGTAGAGGCCAAGGTTACAGCTAATGCATAAGACACCCCCCACAACAAAAGAATTTTCTGGCCCTAAATGTCAATAGTGTGAAGATTGAGCAATGCTGGATTAAAGATTTCTCATCTTTTCAAAAGAGCGTGTCTTTGTTTTCATATTTGACTCTGAGATGTAGTTAGGGAAATTTGCAGGTGAAGATTAACCCAAAGGTTAATCTTCTTTTGACTTTCAGAAGTGTGTTTTAGGGTTAGCTAAATGTGTGCTAATATTTTAATATGGAATTTAAAGAGAATAAATAAAATTCCAAAACACAGAAGAGAGTCCTGTGGTTATAGTAATCCAGTAATCCAGTGGGTTGTTGTTACTAATGTAGCAGATCCAGGCACTTAGAGTGGCTCGTTGGTATGTGTGCCAAATTCATTCCATAATAAATACCCCAGATATTTAGATTTTTTATTATCACCGTAGCAGATTTGTAATGTCTAGCTTTTCTTTCTTTATTTTTTGTGTTTAACTGCAAGATTGTTGACAGTATGTGTGTTCCCTAACTGTGCAACTTTATTGAAATATGTATTTTTTTATTCTGAAGAAAACTTTTATTCCTTTATTTGCTTTGCTTTGAAGGCATTGTTTGTTACTTAACTACTTACAATTCACTTAGGAAACCTTAGTTTTTCCCTCAAAGCTATTTACAAATAAATACTCATTTGTAGGTTAGCATTGTTTCCCCCCTTTCGATGACCTGATGTACAGTTTTTTAGCCATTTAAGTTCTATTTGTCTTTAAGGCATGTGGCACAGTAGGTTTTTGATTCAGTGCTAGTTTATGATGATGTTTCTTAGGAAAACAATGATTGGCTTGCTTATTTTTAAAATGTACTGTTAATTGCATAAGTAATACATAAAGAGTGCTCATTGTGAAGAAATTGAGTAATAGAGAAGTATTAGAGTGAACATTTAGAATTCCCTTTCACCCTCAATACCATTTCCTTTCCTGAAGGCAGCTAATATTAACAGTGGGCCCCAAGAGGGCACAAAAAAATGGAAAGACAATCCCAGGCTCATGGATTGGAAGAATAAGCATTATCAAAATGTCTATACTGCCCAAAGCAATCTATGCATTTAATGTAGTCCCTATCAAAATACCAATAGCAGTTTTCACCTAAGTAGAACCAACAATTCTAAAACTTGTATGGAATCACAAAAGATCCAGAATAGCCAAAGCAATCTTGAAAAAGAAAAGCAAAGCTGAGGCATCACAATTCTGGACTTCAAATTATATTACAAAGCTGTAGTAATCAAAACAGTATGGTACTGGCACAAAAATAGACACATAGATCAATGGCACAGAGTAGAAAACCCAGAAATAAACTCGCAATTATATGGTCAATTAATCTTTGAGAAGGCAGGAAAGACTCCAATGGGAAAAAGACCCGTCTCTTCAACAAATGGTGTTGGGAAAACTGGACAGCAACGTGCAAAAGAGAAAAACTGGACCACTTTCTTACACCATGCATGAAAATAAATTCTAAATGGATTAAAGAGCTGCTTCTCAGTGAAGGAAACAATCAACAAACGAAAAGACAACCCATGGAATGGGAAAAGGTATTTGCCAATGACATATCTGATGAAGGGTTAGTATACAAAATACAGAAAGAACTTATAAAACTCAACACCCAAAAAATGAATAATCCCATTAGAAATGGGCAGAAGACATGAACAGACATTTCTCCAAAGAAGAGGAGCAGATGGCCAAAGACATGTGAAAAGATGCTCAACATCACTTGCCATCAGGGAAATGCAAATCAAAACTAGAATGAGATCTCACCTCACACCTGTTAGAATGGCTAAACTCAACGACACAGGAAACAACAGGTGTTGGAGAGGATGTGGAGAAAAAAAGAACACTTGTCACACAGTGGAGTTTTACTCAGCCATAAAAGGAATGAAATCTTGCCATTTGCAATGACATGGATGGAACTAGGGAGTATAATGCTAAGCAAAATAACTTAGTCAGAGAAAGCCAAATACCATATGATTTCACTCATGTGGAATTTAGGGGAAAAACAAATGAGCAAAGGGAAAAAGAGAGAGACAAACCAGTTATAGGGTGCCAACTGATGGCTCCCAGAGGGGTGGGGTCATGGGGTGAATAGGTGATGGGATTAAGGAGTGCACTTGTGATGCACACTGGGTGATGTATGCAATTGTTGAATCACTGGAAAGGAAAAAGGGTCTTTACTGGAGGTTAACATATTCCAGGTGAAATAGAAAAGCTCATGAATGTTACTAATTTTAATCATTTTTTTCACCCTAATGGAAACAAATGATGTTGGAGCTCCGTGAGGGACAATTAAATAGATAGTCCACAAACGCATGAGCTTGGAGGGTGAATCCCACACCAAAGAGAACGATGGTGCCTTTCATTGGCATGGCATTTGAAAGTATTTCATAGCTATGTGCTTACTTTTTTCCTACCATCCTACGGTACTTGTAAAAGGGTCATGTTATTTGTTTGTGTGCCAATTTTAGTTTAGTGTAGTTTTCTGTTACTTGTTGGCAAATCGTGTTTTTTTCAGCTGCCTACATTTCCTTTGTCTGCACGGCGGGTTTCTCTATACAGGTAGCGAGTTGGCCTCTGTATTCTTATTCCGTGTCATGCTCATATGCGTTCCTTTTTTTTTTTTTTTTTAATTTATTCATTTGTCAGAGAGAGAGAGAGGGAGAGAGAGCGAGCACAGGCAGACAGAATGGCAGGCAGAGGCAGAGGGAAAAGCAGGCCCCCTGCTGAGCAAGGAGCCCGATGTGGGACTCGATCCCAGGACGCTGGGATTATGACCTGAGCCGAAGGCAGCTGCTTAACCAACTGAGCCA